CTACCGCGGGTGCATCATGGTGTGTTTTGACGATAAGTCTTCGGATGACGTCATCTTTGGGGACGCATATGTGGCCGTTGCGTCTGGTGATTCCGTCCTCATATGTCCAATGTCCCAATAATCCTCTCATCCCTTGTGGTCCTACTCGTAAGAGTTTCGCAAGAGCTACTCTTGTTAAGGCGTCATGTTCCGATTTCGAGTGTCGGATGAGGGAGATGAGGTTTGAAGAGGCAATTTCCGTGGATTTTATATGCCGTGTCGGGGACGGTTCTACCAATGTTTCGTCGGATTTGTTGAAAAGCTTGGCCGGGAGTAAAATTTGAGATTTGTTGTCAGATTCTACCCCCTCACTTAGATCTGGACACCTGGACAGAGCATCAGAGTGATTTGTCGCTCCTGCTTTATAGCTGAGTGTAAAGTCGAATCTGCTCAAATAAAGGCTCCAACGGGCGTGTCGTCGTGATAGGTCTCGCGCCGTTTGGAAGTGTTCCAGGTTTTTATGATCTGTCCAAATCTCGAAGGGGTGTCGTGCGCCTTCGAGGTAATGATTCCAATGTTCCAACGCTTTGATTATAGCCAAGAGTTCCCGGTCGTGAACGTCGTAATTCCGCTCTGCTGGTGAAAACGATCCAGAGAGGAAAGCGACTGGGTGCCAGTCACCATCTTTTCCTTCTTGTAGAAGGGTAGCTCCATAGGCGATTAGTGATGCGTCCGTTACTAGTCGATATGGGTGCATGGGATCTGGATAGTTCAAGACAGGTTTACTGATAAAAGCTTTCTTTAATCGTTCGAAAGCTTCTTGGCATTTTGTGGTCCAGTTCCATTTCTCATCCTTTTTGGTGAGGTCATGTAGGGGGCGCGCGATGAGTGAGAACTTGTCAATAAAGCGCCTGTAAAAATTCCCTAGACCCAGGAAGGAGCGAATGTCGCGGACTGTACGTGGGATTGGCCAATCTTTTATTGCGTCCACCTTTGAGTCCTCCATGGCGACATGGTCTTTTGAAATTGTATATCCCAGGTATTGGAGCTTTTCCTTGTAAAACTCGCATTTTTCGGGTTTCAAATATAGGTCGTTGTCGCGTAGGATTTGGAAAACCTGGTTTAGGATTTTGACGTGTTCTGCCATGGTTTTGGAGAAGACGAGGATGTCGTCCATATATACGGTTATCTTCCGGGCTGTGATGAGCTCTCTGAAGATCATGTTCATCATAGCTTGGAAGGTGGCTGGTGAGTTGGTCAGGCCGAAAAACATCACCGTGGGTTCGTAAGAACCTAACGGAGTGATGAAGCTCGCCTTCCACTCATCTCCTTCTTTGATGCGTATATTGTTGTATCCCCATCGCACGTCCAATTTGCTAAAAATGATGGCCCCTTTTATCACATCCAGTAGTTCCTGGATTAATGGAAGGGGGCACACATTCGGGATGGTGTGCGAATTTAAGTGGCGATAGTCCTGTACCGGGCGTAGTTTTCCATCCTTTTTTCCTATAAAGAAAAATGGGGCTGCTGTTTGCGAGGTGGATCGACGGATGGTTCCTCTCTCCAGATGTTCCTTGATGAATTTTCCTAATTCGTCGTGTTTCTCTGGGCTCAGGGCGTAGATTTTGGGCACTTGAGGTTTGAAGGTTGGTTTCAAGTCGATGGCATGGTCCCAGTAAGTGTGTTCTGGGAGTCGCTGCGACTTTCATTCGCTAAAGATGTCCAAAAACTCGTGATGCGCCTTGGGAACTCTTTCCTTTAGATTGGTGACGATGATTTCGTCTTCCAGGTCTTGGTCGAAGCTGGCAAATCCTGACGGTTCGGGGGCCAGTTTCCGAATAACTGGGTCCCGGGTGGCCTGTTTTCCTGAGGGTTTGTCTGGGAGATCAGGTTCTCCCTCGTTTGGTGAAAGAGATGGCTTGTCTTGCGCCTTTCGTTTCTCTTCTGCGTATTTCCTTATGTCCTTTAGGAGCCATTTCCTTTTGAGGTATGCTCGTAGTCGGACACCAAACGTTCCGCTATGGTCGCGGAGTCCTACATCTTCCGATAGTCTTCGGAGATGTTCTAGGCGCTGTTTTTCGCGCTCATTGATGCGTGGTTTGTGCCGTGGCTCCACGTCTGATAACCGCCTACTGTATGGCGGTTCTTCCCTTGCCCTGGTGAACCCATATGGTTGCTGGCATTTCTGGGGGCACCGATCAAAGTGCACTTCACGTCGCCTCCATTCGATGGAGGGATCGTGGTATTTCAGCCAATCTGTTCCCAGGATAAGGTCGTCTTTCCCTAGATTGGAGATAAACATCTGGACGCGCTCAGTATGCGTTCGTCCACTGATGTCCCGAATGGTGAGGTTCACATCCAAGGCGGACCGGATGAGACCTGCTTTGTTAATGGTGTCATCGACGTTCCGGACGCGAATGGGGTTGTTGAGTGTATAGGTGGGGAAACGATGTTTCTTGACCCAAGTTTCGTTTACTATAACTCCTTCGCAGGCCGAGTCGATGGTTGCTTTTGCTCCAGCGTATTGACTCCTGTTTGATACTTTCACGTTCAGGCGTATGGGGGTGATGATACGGTCGTTCATTGCTCCGATACGAATACAAGTGCGGGCATCAAACTCGGGTCGTCCTTGACCTCTCTCCTTCGCTGGTGAGGGAGAGGTCAGGAAAAACGCTCCGCGTGTCCCAAGATTACTTCTCTTGCTTCATCTTCCCCTAATTCTCCGAGTACTGCTCCGATTCGAGCAGAATGACTGACGCCTCCGTCTCCCCGTCGTCCGTTAGGTAGCATAGCGCGCTGCCCATGGTTCGTCTGGGGTCGTCCGGATGGGGTAGAGTGAGGACGTTCCATCGAAGGACCAGGTTGTGGTACCCGCTGGTTGTTGCGATGAACATCCTCTGTCTCCATTCCTCGATATATTCCCGCTTGGTCTCCCATAGCGGATGCGTCATCTTCTCCTTCAAGATCGACCGCGCGGTTTCCTCTCCCTGTCGTACCCAAGCGTCTCTTCGAGTTTCCTCGAACTGGTGGAACGCCTCTACGGGCCGACCAGCAGTTAGCGCTAGAGTGTCCTATCTTTCCACAATTTGAACAAGAGGTGGCTCGCTTGCCATCATATTTCCGCTTTTGGCTAAGGGCATTGCGCTTGCGTGTTGCGTCAATGTCCATGTCAACAACTTGGTTGTTCATTCTGCGAGGGGCGTTTGTGGAGTTGTAGCGGGGAGAGACTTGGTTATGAAAACGATTCAGATAATCGCTTCGAAAGGAGGTGGAGTTGGCGAGGATGGCTTTTTGAGCTGTTCTGGCTCGAAGTCGTCCATCTATTTCGCAGGCTGTATTGATCCAGTCCTGAATCGTATCCTTTGGCTGAACTTCCTTGTCGTATATTTTGTCCATGACGCGCGGGTCTAACCCGCGTTGGAAGTAAGGGACCTGCTCTTTTTCGGAGATGTCGGCATCGGCGGCGATGAGAATGAATTGGTTGGAGTATTCGTCAACCGTCATTCGTCCTTGGGAGAAGGCCATGAGTGCGCTTCGCGCTTTGTCTGTCTTGCCCGTCTCCCTAAATTGGAGCTTGAACTTTGTTAAAAAGTCCCTCCAGGTTCCTAGATCAGTGGGAGGGTCCGCTCCTACTGATTTGAGGAGGAAGTTCTCGGCCCAAGCTCCTGCCGTGCCATATCTCATGCATGAGAGCACCAGGGATATTTTGTCTTGATCGGTCTTGTACCGATCGGATTCTGCTGCGAAAAGAAGGAGGCATTGGAGCATGAATTTCTGGGATTCAATGCGGTTGCCTGTATAGTTGTCTGGGAGTTTGACCTTTCCTCTTCCGGGTTGTACTGTCGCGGAAGGGGGGTCTGTAGAAGTCGAAGCTTGCCCCGACATGTTGGCGAGCGATTCGTTTCGGGTGTTGATCGGTGTTTGGTCTGGTGAGTCGGAGTCTGATTCCGAGGTTGTTTCCTCTTGCTCCGAGTCTTTGGGGATTACCGGCGCCGGTTCCCTGTATTGTGGGGCTAGTTCCCACTGAGCTTCTGTTTCGTTCCAAATATCCTCTTCTTCTGTTCCGTCTTCAAGGGTGAAGTAATAACGCCCGTTTCGGTATGAGCAGTTATCGTAATTCGGGGGGGCGTATCTGTTGTTGTCTTCGTAGACCCAGAAGTCCCCTTCGCGCCGGATAGGGCGATTGTTGTGACAGAGTTGGTTATCGATACGTCTAGTGCCGGGTGGATATTCCTGGCCTAGGTCTTGCTCCAGAGTGTGTGCAGTAACGCTTTCTCAATGGGGGTCTATGTCCCCACTGAGCAAGGTTATGAGAGAGAGTGTGGCAGCAAGCTAGTGCGAGCAAGGTAGGGGCAGAAGAGTCTATTCTAGTGTTACGACTGCTCGTCGGTAACCCCAAGAGTAGGAGGTTCTTCCCTAGGTCACTCGTGGAGGATGTGTGGAACGGTGGTCTCGACTGTACGTGCAGCACAGGAGCCTGAAGTGTATTGCAGAGTAGCAATAGGAAGTACTGTAGGAAGACAGTACCAGAACGAAGGTGCTGTGGTAGGAAGACCACAGTGAACGAAGAGAATAGACTGAAGATCGTCAGCCTATTCTATGGGCCTTTTATACTACTTTGGGAAGTAGGGCGTGAGAATACCGAATATGTATCTGTAGGTATTCTCTAAGTCGTCTCTCTCAATAACGACTACTCTTGTGCTTCTCCGTTGGTCTCCTTCCGGCCAGGAAAGACTAGGAGGTTCATGCCCTGTGTGTGAGTAATTTATAAGGCGGCGTTCCATGCCCGCTAATACAATAGGCCCGTGATACTCGACCAACGATAAGGTGATCCGTTGGGAGTGGATGACCAAGGTTAATATCTGTACCTTGGTGTACGCCTCAACCTGTGAGGCCGCGTGATATTTGTGATGATCGTATCGGCATAGACCGCCGTGTAGGCCCGATAGAACGTGATCATAACACTCGCCGACCATCACCCCAGGGGGCCCCACGAGATGCATCATGGAATGAAAACCCTGATGACAGAAACTTACCAGGCTCTGACGAAGTACCAGTGGGAGTTCCACCTCCTGCTACAATCACGGCAAGCATTGGAGCTGCAGGTCCCTCGGGACTACGAGCAAGAACAGCAGCTCAACTCCCAAGCCATGGAGAAGCTGAATCGATACCAGCTATACAGGGAGCTGCATCTCCGCCAGTATCAACTGGTGGACAGGTTCCCCGCCCCATGGGAAGAACTACCCTTGGTACAGATCCTCACTCCGGAGAATTGGAGCGACACAAGGACGCGCTCCTCCAGCGAAGCACTATCTCCGCGGTAATACAAATGGCCACAGCCATGGCCCTACAACGACTCGCTAACTTTGCCGCAGGGCAACCCGGGAATGAGAATAGTGACATACCTTGACGACTGGCTAGTGCCAGTCTCCAGATCAGAGGACTTGCCCTCCAAACAGACCCTGACACAGCCTCTTGGTACGAACATAATGACGGACGACTACGAGCTCTTCTCATCCATCCCGACGAATTCTCCTAGTATGTCAACAGAGAGCTCCTTCCAGCTCTCCTCTTCACCAGAGAACTGGGCGCCGTCCAACCAAGTAGAACCGACCCCTTCCGCGTTGTCGTCTGGAATGTACCACGTCCTGGAGAACGTTCCACGCCTATACCAAATCCAAGAAGGACTCCGCACACAGTCGTGGAACGCCCTTCACCAAGGCCACGGGAAAGTCGTACAGCACATAGCAATCCCACGACGTCCTCCTCTCACCGGGTACGAAATTTTCCCTTATCCCATGGGGGTACCGACGAGGAGGAACCACCCGTCTATCGAAGAAACGAGGGAAGAAGGAGTCGAGGAACCCAGGCAACCCTCCGCCGCGGAACAACTACTGGCGGGAGTGTTCAACACCGGCCTGGAACGCCTCCTCCTAGTACTCGATTTCGTACAGACGAGGGACAGAATAACCGAAGTAGCCGCAGAACTCGCCGCGCTGATTCGGAGGCTAGAAGAAATCGCTCTTGGACTCGATACAAGCTCGATGCATGGGATGCTCTAGATGATCCCGGAAATTACGACGATGCCGACCCCTATTATCGACCTGACGAAGGAGGCGATGGCTATCAAGGACCCTATGATTACTAGGGAGGATCAACTGTGGGGTAAGAAAGGGGGTAAGGAAGTTGAGGAACTCCTTCCCCACGAGGGTCCAAAATGACCTTAAACTACCGATCATCCGCAATGACGTAAAACTAGGTTCGTCCCTCAAGATGTTAAACTGTATGACCTCGTCCGAAAGAGACGTTAAACTACCCCACGTCCGGAATGATGTCTAAACTATCGGACCTGCATGTCTTAAAACTGTGAAAAGATAAGAAGGCAGGGGAAGTACCTGACCATTAGTCCTAGGTTCAAATAATGGTACGAATCAAGGACAACAGCGGGCATAATTCCACGTATGACCTACGGCGGAACCTTTCACATCCTCGCTGTCAAGGAGTTAATCTGACAGATGCATCGAGCGTCCCATTTGGATCCTCAGTTTTACAGGGTTTTTTCCGCATTAGGGAACCCTCTACATGACATATACTCTACTCGTAGGTGTCGACAAGCCGGCTCTTCGCCTTGGTACAGCAAAGTGCCCATACATAACCGGTTGCAAGTCCGAGTCAAGAAATTATGATGCATAACTCATTAAGTGAACCCTCACAGTCAAGGTCTGACTGGTGTTTTGGGACGTCCCACTTTGGATCTCCCGTTTTACAGGATCGTTTCCGCATTAGGGGATCCTACAGCTGGCGCATGAGATGATGTAGAGCCCAGGCCACCTCTACTTCACAAGTCTTCCTACAAGGAATGCGAGGCCATATAATAACATCCGGAACGATGTAAAACTACCAAAGGCTTGGTCCGCAATGACTATAAACTACTAGGGTCCGCAACGACGTTAAAATAGTCTTCGTCCGAAACGACGGAAAACTATCCTCGTCCGAGATAATGTAAAACTACCATCGACCCAAGGAGCGTGGTTTTATTCTGGTGAAGCGCGGATTTTTCGGGAGGATCCGCGTCGCAGAACCCTGCCTGTAAGAGGTCGAAGCGCTTCCAATATTCACTCGCTTTTCGGTAAAAGAATATTGGGTCGTCTTGGTTCAAATCCAAGCAAGGGGTCTGGAGACATGGAAGAGCAAGCATCTCTTCATGGAGTGCTCAGTCTAGTCTTGGAGTCGAAGTACAAGAAATTCCGCTCCAAGACCTAGTCAGGAGGCAACTAGGACACGTGCCTCAAGTCGAAGATCTAGCAGGAAGGGACTAGGTCATGCGACTCTCGTCTGGCCCACATAGCGGAAGAACGACAAGAGCGGGCCACTCATACCGAGAAGTTTATTCCGCCACTCATCCGCAACGACGATAAACTACGAACCGTCCAGGATGACGTTAAACTAAGCATTGTTTTTCCACAATATTTGTGGCGAAACAACGTCTGCAAATGACATTAAACTATTGTCCTCTCAAGAATGAGGATTGTAATGGATATCTCGACCAGATGTCCATTCGTCCGCAATGACGATAAACTACGACGCGTCTGAAACGACGTTAAACTACCGTCCCTCAACCCTAGGGATTGTTCGAGGCCATTTTTGCAATGGAAATGGCGTCGACGTCCGCAACGACGGTAAACTACGGGCATCCGAAATGATGTAAAACTATCGTCCCTTTGTTCTAGGGATCGTGCATGGTGGAAATCAAGGTTATCCCCACGCGTCCGAAACGACGCTAAAATACTTGTCCCTTCAAGCATAGGGATCGTGTGTGGTGATCTTGACAAGATACCACGCGTCCGCGACGACGTTAAACTAGTGCCCCTTGGACTTAGGGGTTGTCATTGATGTCTATGCCCCTAGACACCAATGCGTCCGCAATGACGGAAAACTATTTGCTCCTTACCGCATAGGAGTTGTGGATTGACCGCCATGCTGTCAATCGTCCGCAATGACATTAAACTACGTGCTCCTTACCGAATAGGAGTTGTGGTTGTTGACCAAGACCATGGTCATCAACCGTCCGAGATGACGTTAAACTATTCGTCCCTTTTGGTACAGGGATCATTGGTCGACATCATTTTTGACGAAAATGTGTCGACAACGTCCGAAATGACGGTAAACTACCTTCATCCTTGGAAGGAAAAGCCTATCGTGACTCGAGGGACATAGTCAGACGATAGCTCGCCTAAAGCACGGTATTAAACTGCAAGTCACCTACCTCACGGCGTTAAACTGAGCGGTCTCCTAATATTGAGACGTTATAAGTTATCCGGTTTGATATAGTATAAACCGTTCCCATCATGCCTCAGTAGAAACCTGCGGGACAAAGTCTGGTCTAGGGCCCTATGCACATAACCGATGAATGGTCCGGCGTGCAGAAACATCTTTCCCCACAGATATTCCATGTTGATGATGAAGAAGGTCCGCAAATGACCTAGAAGTAAACTACAAGGCAGCGCAGGGCGCCTTAATGACATCCGAGACGATGTAAAACTATTGTCGTCCGCAACGACGTAAAACTAGGTATCGTCCGCAACGACGATAAACTACGGAACGTCCGGCAAGACGTTTAAACTGCTATCGTGGATATATCTCGCAACCCGACAAATATATCAGCTGTGGTCTTAATGTCTATTTGTGCAAACGAACGGGCCGATCAGGAGAAGGAGTCAGACTCCTCCTTACTCCTCACGACACCCTTCAAGTCTAATTCTCTTCACATCCTTGCCTCAAACCCAATACGCATAGTGAATCAAACAAACTCTGGACGTCGAACTAACTCACCGGAGATGAGCCCACCGTATGGGGGCAATACTGCTTGGGACGTTAAGATGGTAGTCTGGGGAAGTAGGCCTAAGCCTTTGTAAAGCGATCAACCTACTTGCCCGTGGACGCCATCCTCTGAACGCCAAGAGGAACAACAAAAATCACGAGGATAACGACTATCCTGGAAACACTGAGGTTTGGCCCTCGGAGAAGGAAGAAGAAGAACCTGATGACACGAATCAGAACCCACATGCTAGAGTTTCTATTCATCCATACACCATTCGCATTCATACGCCTTTCTTGACACCTGTCCGGAGACCAACCGGACTGACATCCTAGCTTGAGAACCCAGGAAAGATCACAACAACCGAGGGGTGAAGGAAGAACATCCTACAGAGCGGAGGTTTGGATACCCTCACGACTCGACAAACAAACAGCTCAACAGAGATGGAAAACTCCTAGAGGATCAAACGACGTAAGTCGGTCTTCCTCCCAGAAAACCAAGTCATGTCCCGGGAGTCGCACCCAGAGACCAATTTTTGGATCAAGAAAGCAAACCGTATATGGAGTGGCGATGAAGCGCAAAGCGCTGTCCTACCAGGCGAATAGGACGTAGAAAGGGGGTATTGTTATGATCACGTTCTGTCGGGCCTTAACGGCGGTCTATACCGACACGATCATCACAAATATCAAGCGGCCTCACAAGGTGAGGCGTACAAACAAGGTACAGATAGTAACCTTGGTCATCCACTCCCAACGGATCACCTTATCATTGGTCGAGTATCACGAGCCATATTGCGACGGGCATAGAATGCCACCTTACAAACTACTCACACACTGGGCATTGAGCTCCTAGTCTTTCCTGGCCAGAAGGAGACTAACGGAGAAGCACAAGAGTAGTCGTTAATGAGAGAGACGACTTAGAGAAATACCTACGGATACATATACGGTATTCTCACGCCCTATTTCCTAAAGTAGTATAAAAGGCCCATAGAGTAGGCTGAGGTTCTTCAGTCTATTCTCTTCGTTTCCCTGTATCTTCACATACAGGGATCTTCGTTCAGTACTGTCTTCCTACAGTACTCTTCATTGCTGCATCGCAATACACCTCTGGCTCCTGTGCTACACATACAGTCAAGACCACCGTTCCACACATCCTCCACGAGTGACCTGGGGAAGAACCTCCTACTCTTGGGGTTATCGAACGAGCAGTTCGTAACAATCATTATCACTATTGATATTACAATTTTTAGCACTATTTATATTGTTTATTGCCTTGTTATACAGAAGATGCTCAAACTTGGTGTTTTCCTCTAGCTATTAGGCTGTGGAAAAGACAGTCATGTTGGTATATGGTATCAGAATAATATATTTGCCTGCCATATAGGAAATATGTGCACTAAGCATATTAAGATCACCTCCAACAATCTTGTGCTTATTTATATATAGGCATGCCATATATATACTCTTGTCCCCACCCTCTACCTCACTAGTGGCTATTTGGAAAACCCCTCTCTCTTATTGGATCTTGATTATTCATAATCATGTTTTTGATCAAATTTGCAAATTCAGGTAGCATTGTCTATACTAGTAGAGTCTCATTGAATATTACACTCAATCATAGTTTTACACATTCTCAGTCCAAATTGTGTAAGTGCCACAATCTATTTTTATCCTATATAAAGTGTATTATTGATTTTCCATTGGTTTATTATCTTCTTAGCTGGTGTTTAAACTAAATCCTAAAAGACCTGACTTTTTGGGTATTTATTGTCCTATTTATTTATTGGATAGAGAAAAGATAAATATTGAATAAAATCAGAGATGTTGAGGTTGCCTATATTATGTCTACTTATTTAGATTACCAAGTTCATATATTAGACCTTATGGCTTAGTGGCTTAGAGCATCTGTCCCAGGTGCTTGTATATATGAGATTGTTAGTTCAACTCTGGCAAAAGGCAAGTTTCTTATAAGGTATATTCTGTGTTTAGGTATTTAATTAGTGCTCTAATAGACATGACTCTATAAGAAGGCTATGAGAACTGTGATGCTTGATTTACTATGATTTTTCCGAAATTTCAAGTTATAATCAATCCTAATAATTCCTAATTTAGGAGAATTATGTCTAATTAGAACAGGTTTAGGGGGGGGGGGGGGTAAGCTAAAAATGTCTAATCCTAATCATTCTTAATTATGCATAGAACTAATTAGAGCTCAATACAAAGGAGTGGTTTTCTAGATGAACTCTGTATTACTCTGAAAATTGGGAGCAAGATTTCAAGCAGACTTTATTTACTATACATGACTATCCATTGACTTTTACTTGACTGTGCACACTTGACTTTTCAGATGAAACTTGACTTCCACATGACTTCCACATGACTTTCTTTCCTTGTCATTCAAGCAGCGTTTGGACATATCAACATTAAACTTTCCTCTCACCACCATGCTACAGCTCAATAACCTCTTCAAATTTCTCCCTCCTAATACTTTTGTTCTATCTTCTGGAAGCAAGAGCACCACCCCTAGTGCTACTGACACCTGGCTACAACCACTCCCTCTAGTGGACAATCTGAGCTCACTATGTGATGAGTCTATTGTGTATGGTGAGTCAACCTCACAGGCTTCCAGCTCTCTGAGCTCAAGTTTGATTGATACAGCCAATAAGTGCCTCTAATCACACATATTCACCTACTAAATACCACTATTAAATGATATTCAGGTCTTGAATAGTGAGTCCACGAAGAGCCACTGACGACACAGTCTGTCTCTGTTCAGATTCAACCTTTCTGCTCCAATCCCACCTAGTACAAGCTCAAGTGCAAGGCAATTGCCTTGTGCTAAGCACTGCCAGTGTATACTAGGTGCATGTAGTTGAGCATGGCCAACCATGGCAGCCTTGTACACTTTGGTGGCCTCTTTTTTTTCATATAACTCATCTCATTCATTCTTCATGCAAACAGAGGTGGGTAAGAGATGGGCAGCCCTAGAACTAAGTAGTCATGGAATTGCTCAGACATCCACTCTGACCTTGACAATAATTGGTTTACCTGATATGGCTTTGTATCTGACTGGCTTGGTGAATTGTTCTGCTTTTTGAGCATGTGGATGATGGAGAGGCAATACTTGAACTGTGCATTTGAAAGTGTAGAGGTGTGAGGTTTAGAATCAATGACCATTAGAAGTGTTTAAGCTGAGGAAAGAGTGGCAGCAGTCTTCAGAAGAGAACCCAAGTAGATTCCATATCAGCACCTCTATAAGGGCATACAAAATATCCAACAACACTTGCATACCTTCTTTTATATACATTGGTTTGACTTCTCTTAATAACAAATTGACTTTTCAATGACTTTCAATATACTTGACTAATACTGACTGAACATGATGCATGTGCAACTTTAAGTTGACTGTAGTCAAACCTAAGTAATTGCCCTTTGAGGAACATCAACTTGACTTTGACTTGACTTTGCCTTGACTTTGACTTGACTAAGTTTCAGTGCTCTCAACACCAAGAGAATTTAAAAATAGATGGATATTGATGTCAACTTTTGCACAACTTTGTCAGTCAAATCTCAGTCACAAAACTGGGCTTTTCATCAATTTTTAGTCAAACATGAATAGAACATGCTAGGACCACAACTATTACATGAATTTCTGTTTTTACTAAGCTTGATGAAAGAGAAAACTTGAGAGCGATGTTGGCACTTGCCAATTGGCCCTTGGCATAGAGTTCAGTGAGGTTAGGGTTCAATTCCTTCAATGCCTCTGACAACCACCTCAGTGACTCAATCACTGCTCCTTGCACCATGCTCCTGTTGATGGATCCGCTTTCACAGAGACTTCATGTTGAATCCTATTGTACCCTAGGCATATCCAATCAATTTCTTTGAAGATTCTGCATAAGACGTCTATTAGTCAGTATTCTAAATTGCTAATGCTCCTACTAATAACATTCTATCTTTTTTACTACTCATCACATACAAAGACTAACAGGTTGATTCAACGGATGTGGATGGAGTAAATCTCTCATTTAACCAGTTTGGAACTCAACATATCATAGGTCAGCTCAGTCACTCTTAATGATTGATGCTGACTTTGACCTGACAGATCATGGCAGAACCTCTTGTGTGTCCCAATATCTTGTATGGGATGTCTCTTTGTCTCTCTTTGACAGCTATTTGACAGAAACACAAAGATTAATCCATTGTGATAGAGGATGATACCAATGAGATGGAAGAGCTTACAACATTCATTGTCAGGGAAACAAGGAAGAGAGCCAGTCATCATTACTGGAGACAGCTCTATATCTTTTCTGGGAATTCTTCAATCTCCATTCTGTAAATCACCCCCTTTACTCAAACTCTTCTCATAATCTAGCTAATGAAATCCTATTGGACAGGAGATAGCTTGGCTATGAATGAGGCCACACTCTTAATACAATCCAAGCTGACTGGAGGCATTGTTAAACATCTGTCATGATGTGTTTTTTGAGCAGACAAGACATATAATGGACCTCAATGAAGGAATATTACTTTACCAAGAAGCCCCCAGTTTCATGCTCTCCCACCTAGCCACCAGTCTCCTTATGAAACCTAGCTCAAGTTATTCTTCTTCCAATAAATCTCTGAATACCACAATCAACCTGTTTTGGATTGCAGTCAGATGTGAAACTGCATCTGCATTTGATTGCCTAAAGGCTGCTTGAGCATGGGCACACCATGCAGATCAACTAAACCATGCATCTGCATTGGAAGCATATTAGGCCACCATCTAGTTATATCCTCTTGTTTCAATGCTCATCTCAAGTGTCAAGTCTTGGTCCAAACTCCTCCTTAACAAACTCGATTGGAATTTTCCTGCAAATACTGCAGCTTGTGCTATCTGGATGTGCAAACTCAAGCAGGCTATTGAACTACTTTAGGGCTTAGAGATGTCTTTCAATGTCTTTGATACAAGTGGCTCTGTGCTGATGAGGGTATTCCATTTCACACACATTTCTTCCTCCATGGTCTATACCTCTCCACTAGTGATGTATTTTCCAGAGATGTTGATGATCTGGCTGCTGGGAGGGAGTGATACACTGTTTGCAGATTTTGTTGTGAAGACCTATTTCTTAAGGTCCTTGGTACCTTCAACTTTACACTGTGAGTGATTTATTTTTCCATTTATGTTTGTACTCTAAGGCTATCACATTGCCTAACCTTTCTTCATAGAATGCCACTTCTTCCTATGTGGTCAATACCTTCACATTGTTATGCTTGAAAGACAGAGCAGGCCCATTTCTTGACACAACATAACACAACCTCCCATCATGAAGCTGGCACTTCTTTTCTCAACCTATCATTCCTCCTCTCATAAGCTTACTAGAAGCTCCTCAGGTGCCCATTCATCATGCAAAGGTCAATTTAGGCTCTCAATTAACCTTCTCAGTGTCAAAACTGCCATATACATTGACTTGGGTGCAAAATGAGCTGTACTTCACTTGTAGCAGTGATCCACTCAATGTATACTGCATTCATCTATTCTCAACCAACATTTCCTATAATCTGGAAGAGGTATGAATTCCAAAGAAAATGGTGCCCTTGCCTGTCACGGTGCAGCCCCAAGTGGTATATTACTTTCCTTATGCAGGTAAGAAAAAAGAAGGCTGAATTATTATTAGGGACCCTATATCTGGTTTGAAGGGGGCTTGGCTGTCACCTATTGGATGCTTTTTGCAGGAGCAAGAGGACTTGGGGGGCAGAACCAGGTGATCACTTGGCCATTCCAGATGATTCAAGTGTAGGGAGGTTGAATTACTATCAGTAGAATCAAATCAAAAATATGCTTGTGATTGTAAGTGCACTACTCTCAGCAATAGCAATCACTCACTCAAATTTGCACAGTGAAACCATGCCTTGTCTAACTGTTGAAGGACTCTGGAAATGGGTTAAATTGAATCTGCTTATTGTCAAATGTATGTACAATGTATCTGAACTCTACCTGCCTCAAAAAAAATTCCGTGCATTCTGCCAATGCGCCTGTATTTGAGAGACAATGAGATAGCGAACTACGAAGGAGAATAAAGGACTGAATAGGAAGAGTGAATGACTTCGAAGGACCCTCTCGCGCTGACGTCACCACACCATTGTGAAGTCAACGATCAACCTCTTCCAGCACGAGTGGGATGGGATTACAGTTCGAAGACAATAGATGCACTTGTACACGATTTGGTACCGCGAATGAGTTCGCCTCAACCATCGCTTGCTTTGGAAATTGAGATTGAGGACTGGGATCAACATGTGTCAAGCTCTTGCAATCGAAATTTAGATCCTCTTGTGCACCAATCTTTGCAATAATCTCAACTAGATGAATCCTTGATTCAAATAGGACAAATGCATATACAAACTCAGACGTTCGGTAACAAAATCAAGTACATACGATCATGATCATGATCACTATTTTTCAAGTTTTCCAACAATTCCCAAGACCTGATCATATCCTTCTCTAACGATCATTCACAGTCGTCTATATCTCCCTGTACGAGACAGAACCTGATCACACATTCGTCAGCTGGCGTGTGTTGGAGGAGTGCCAAGCCGTCACGACTTCGAGCACAGCGTTCACGTGCTCGATGGACAACGGGGAATCGCTCTCCAGCGCGATGCACTGTGCACTGCTGATCGCATTCTTGATCTAGCAGTGGCAGTGTTAGCGGTATGTACGTCGCAGCAAGGAGACATGCTGAATAACGAACCTGGCGCCCATTCATCTCGTGCACCGCCAGCCGATCGATGTCCTCCTCATTGAACTTCTCAGCACCGCTCGTGGCCTTGCCAAAGAACATCTTCCAAATCCTCTTGCGCGCCTCGAAGTCCAGATCCGGATACGGTATAGAGAAATGAATCCGGCCTGTGATGTAGGTGAGGACCAGCCAAAGATAGAGCAAGGAATAATCATGCGCACTCTCGAACGCCGCGTCGCACTGATCGAGCAAGTTTGTCGTCAGAATCAGGATCCCCTGATAATACTCCAGTTGTCTCAGGAAAATTGACACGAGCGCATTCCTCTTGACGTCCGTGGCGCTCCTCTGCTGCAGAAACACCTCCGCCTCGTCGAGCAGCAACACCGCGTCCCACGTCTGCGCCAGCTCCAGGATCTCGGTCAAGCGCTCGTCCAGGTCGCACGGCTGGATGCCCAGGTCTCCCGCACTGATGACGTAGAGAGGCCTGTGCGTGATCTCCGCAACGGCTTCCGCAGTAAGCGTCTTTCCGCACCCAGGTCTCCCGGACAGGAGCCCAATGAGGCCTTGGCCCTTGCCGGGGATAACGTCATCGAAGCGCGTGGTGTGGGCTTTGTGCTGCTTGACGAGCGAATGGATGAGTGTCTTTTGCTTGGGCCCGATGACGAGCGACCGGAAGGCCTCGTCCGACCAGACTACATCGCGCAAACGGTCCATTGCAAATCCACCTGAAACAGAGGGCAGGACATGTGTACACCGAGACGATGGTGTCAAAAGGGCAGGGGCACGTACCCCATGTCTTAGTAGCAAAGGAGAACCCGAGCACAACAGGCGTGCATATGACATACTGCTCTTCGGTGAGCGTGGCCCTCTCCAGAAGTTTGTGGACAAAGAGATTGTAATCTGCGTTCGGCTGATGAACACGGAACGCGACGGGGTCGATCATGACGCGTCCATATATCTGCACATCCCATCCCTTGATCAGTACCAACGACGAGAAAGTACATTCCAACGGAGCGAACACATACATGGAACTTCTGTTTCTCACCACGCATCGCCTGCCCACTAATTTCACAAAAGGTAGGCTCGACCATCTTTGCAAACTTTCTGCCCCTCTCCGCGGCATGCCTGCGGAGGGTGTACTTGTCCCGATGGTAATCGAGGGGGTACACCACCAGCTCTTGAATCTTGCGCACCCCAGCAAACCTCGGGATCGAGAGGCAGACTTGTGCGAGCCCAAAGGCGTTCCCGTCATCAGTAACGACATCGCACTTGATGTTAGCGTACAGAACGCCGTTGCTGCGGTCCAGATCAAAACTTCGAGCCAAAAGGATCTCGTCTTGCTCTGTGGGGTCGTGACGGTTGTACACGAGTGTGTTCGGCACGATCAGCGCCCACAGGAGGTCGAACGTGATTTCCTGCTGAGTGGCGAGCTTCTTGAAGTCGACGAGGGTGCTGGCAAAATCTTCTTCGACGAACTGGATAGCCGTCTCGAGGTCGGCTATAAGCTCGGCGTTGCGTAAGCATCGTGCTTCCTCCTGTGCGAGCCTGCTCTTGAGGCCATCGTAGGAAAGGAAGAACAGCTGCGAGTTTGCCTGGTGATAACAAAGATGAAACAGTCAGCAACCTGTCCAGTTGCTTTGACCTGGCGGCTTACGGTGGGCTGAGCTCGAGTCAGTTCCAGGCCTTCGACATCTCGATTGATCTCCATGAGCACTTGACACAACGCCGCACTCTTGATGTCGATTTCGGTGCTCTCGACCTGGCCCTGCGTATTGACGATCCGTCGAACAACTAAGACCACCTTTTTGGAGACCTGGTGCTGGCGACTCTGCTTGACGTCTTTGTTGGTCTTTCGAAGAGCGGTAGAGGACGTCCGTCTAGTAAGAACAAGTCAGCTGAAAACCTCAGCATAATGTCGGGAAATGAGCAGACGTGTCGAAGCTGGTATAGTTCCGCGTCAGCATGGCCCTTCTCTGTCAGTGGAAGTGACAGCAGAGGCTCACTATTGATCATAACGAGCAATGCGCTTTGTGATAGGCGTAGCAACCGGCTCTTCGGATGCATGAACTTCGGTGAAGCTCATGGTGACTGTCTAGCTGGATAGCTTAGTATGCGTTTGAGGATGATCTTGGGGCAGAACGTCTCAGTACTCGCCTGCTTCTTAAATCTTCTTCGAGCGCGTCTATCGTCTTGGTCAAGAGGCGCTGTAGCACTCGGCTTGGAAGGGCTGATCATTGCTCTCGTTATAGCATTAGGAGGTGCGTTCCACAGAAACCCACGATACATTGAATTTAAAGAGTGGCACACCGCCATTTGCACGAGACTTGACGCTGTGCTCTGACGCGAAGAGTATGCGATGCTTGAAAAGCAGGTTCAACATTAGTCGACATGTCATGAATGGAATGAGAACTTTCGACATGTACACTTGCGATTCAAATAAGCTTGCCTTCCGCATCGAGGTGTGCCATGTGAACGTGAGAGAGAAGATTGATAATGGCGATGCCTGCATGACATACCCGTTCTATCCTATGGAGCTGCCAAAGTAGAGTTCCTCTTACATGATAAGGAGTCATACTTTGACGTAGCGCTTCTGACTGCGATCTTGATACGACTCGCCCTCTGATGAAGCTGCTCTCTGCCTGAATGGAATATCAGGATCCCGGATGGTGACGATGTGGAAGTGGTAATGCTAGAAAGCTCTGCGGGGCGCTTAACGCGCGCATATGACCAGCTTTTACGAGGGCAGCACAGCGCTTTCAAAACACGTTGTGAGGCGAGAATGGCGCGCACACCGCTGACATCTGTCTGGAAAAAAGGAGGGGCAGCAGATATCGATCGGGCGGCGCGCCCAAAGACAAGGACTCCGCGATCACCGGGTGGCTCACGATGTAGCACGGAGGCCAGGCGTTATGACAGTGTCGTGAGCGATGGAGAGCGCTCGCATTTGTAGTCTGGAGCGCTAGGAAGTGTAAGGTGGGGACGTTGGATGGATTCATGGAGTCGTAACGGGGAGACAAGATGATACCGCAAGGGCAGCGGAGAAACGCAGACCCGACAAGACAAACGAGAGTCCACGTCGCGCGCGCCAGGCACCCGCAGTCCCGAAGCCTCCTCGCTAGAGACTGTATAGCGCGATGCGGTAGGGAAATTTCAGAGCAGAGAGGGGATCAGATAAGGAGGTAGGAAGCGGAAAGGGTCTGAATGGGGCCGTACCTCGCGTATGTCTATCGCCTCGCCGACAATGACCGCGCGAGGCAGTACACTCATAGATCATGGATCACACGGTGAAGACAACAACACAGTGGCCGGGGGCGGGATGCACGCGGGACGTGCGATGAAGCCAGTCCCAATGGGGCGCGACGAGCCCAGGGCCGATGCGCGGCTACAGACAGACGATAGAGAGGTTAGGGCTTGGGCTAGATGGCCTCTCCCAGCTCGAACCAGCAACAACGCTCTCGACTAGGATCCGCCCCCGGAAGCGCAACCCGGAGCGCCGATCGTCGTGTCGCGAGCGGGATCCGCACGGACGACGGCTAGCGGGAGCACCGGCGGAGGGCGCGGGGATGAGACAGGCGGGCGCAGATCGGGCCCAGCTGCATCCGGACGACGCTAGCCGCCGTCTGTTGCGCGCGATCCGGCGGCGTCACTTCCGCTGCTCGCGATGGTGCATATATGCGCCGAAAGAGAACGAGAGGAGGGACGAGGGTGGATTGAATAGACATAGCGGTCTCATTTTGAACGCGTGGGGCAGACAAAATCACCGTGCATCGGCTGGACCTAATGCGTCTGCCCTCGCAAGATGAGATGCTGGATCGAAGGTGCCGCGGAGGGGCACGTGAGGATCGCGAGGGCGGACTCAGAAGACTATTCATCTGCGTCTCTTTCTCACGGCATTCGTATCCCCGGAGGCCTCGTCATCGACGACCACTCTCAGGTGCGACAAGGACCCACCTTCGCTCCAGGCGCAACTCGGATCTGTATCGGCAGGACCGGTCAGTCGGATCCTGCTTCCATCGGCTGTGAGGAACGAGAGCTGCGCTGCTAACGTTGAGATTATAGACCCCTTTGCGACCGCTTCGCTGCGGAGATGTGTCGACACAACAAAAGAGTCAAAGGGGTCCTATAAAAAACGTAACGAGAGTCGTACTGTACTCACCTCGCTGTATGTACTACAGTCATCCTTGCTCCTTTGTTTGGAGTATGGAAATTACCGCGCACATACAGCCAGAGGCAGCGTCGACGTCAAGCCCATCCGCTCTCGTCACTTCATCTCAACGTTCAGTGGAGCCAAGTGCAGGGAAGGATTTCAATGCGGGTTGGGTGAGGAAGAAGGCTCATCGAGAAAGTAGGCAGCGACCTCGCTGTTGTGATCGTCGGCCAGCGCGAACCCAAGCACGAGCGCTCAGCCTTGGTCTATCCTCTGATCCATCAAAAAGAGATCCGTCAGGAGAGGTAGTGGACATGAAGGACAGCGTCACGATAAAAGGCGCCTGAGGCATAGTACCGACGATTCGGTCGTAGGACGACAACTCACCTGACTACTGCCGCGCGGATACTTGGCTTGCGATATCACATAGCCGATCAGAATGTATATCGCCTACAATGTGGGCTTCTGCGCCGTACAGCGTCACCAGGGGTCATATGAAAGGGGACGAAGTGTGTCGTGCGAGAAGGCGATGGTCTGACCTCGATGTATCGTCCGACCGACGGGGAACTGACGGGGGTGGTACGATGAGAAGAACGCTTGATATCCAATAGAATCGAAACGCAGCGTCTGACGCCTGCGCACGCACAGAATGACGTTCATGATCCGGGAGTGCATTGCGAGACCGGAGGAGATGTGGAGATGTTAGGTTCAGAGAACGCAGAAAGATTGCGATCGTCGGGCGATGAACGGCATCGATCTGGTTCGTGGATGGATATCGGTGACTTGAATGTTGGGACCGGTAGCGGATCGTGCGAGGTCGATGATGTCAAGAAGAACTGGCACATCAAGTCAGGAAAGCGCAGGCGAGTCAATAGGAGAAGCGTACCAGCTGTTCTCGCTGTCTCCTCCGCCAATCTTCCCGAAGCTCTCCTTGAGTCCCCATTCAACGTCCTACAATAGCGACCACTGAATCGTGAGGGGATGCAACAGATTCGCGTGCCGAAATCACCTCAGGGAGTGATCCGTTTGAGAAGATGACGTGGACGTGGACGACAGACGTCCAGAATCTGATAAAAACGATTGGAGAAAGGAAACAGACGTGAGGGTGATGAGAAACGCGGAATGGGGAAAAGAGAGCCGCGGAAGTGAGAAATGTAGGGAAAACAGTGTGAGGCGACCTGTGAAGATAAACAGCAAAGCGTACTTATAGACACCCGATTCCAGAGCCCTTCCTCTTCTCCTGCTTGTTGTTGGCCGTCAAAGCGCCTCATGTGCGGCCTTCTTGAATGAGGCTTGCCTGTGATGAATTGGCTCCATGGCCTGTCCCAGGTGGGCGCGCTTGGCGGCAGGGTTAGGGTCCAACTGCCCGCCTTTGCTACCCGACTAAATCCATGTCTAAGGCCTTTCTAGATAATATTTGATTATCTCAGCCTGCATGCGCCGCCTTTCTTGGAAGCGGCTTACGAGTGTCGCCTACTCTGGATCTATCTCTGCTCAAGATGAATTGTACGAGTCGCAGTGTTTGACTAGCCTTTGATACAATTCCTTCATCTTCAATATCCGTTCGCGACTTGCATGACACCATTTCCCACTTTTCACTCTTCCCTTCTTCTTGAAAACCCAACCCGCGCTCTATCGTGCCTCTATCAGCCGCCGTCCACAGCCGTACGTGTACTGCCCGTCTCAGCGGATGCAGTCGGACCAACATCGCCAATGCTTCCACCGACAATTACTCACCCCATTCGGCGCAGGGATGCGAGCCCCGCCTAATGCCTCAAGCATGAAGAAAAAAGAAAAGAGGCTGTATCGTGCACAGGATTGGAGGATGTCAGAACTCAAGGAAAAGTCGACGAGGGACCAGCAGGAGACGCTGGACGCCACAAACGCGCACGGCTCCATCGACCAGTGCACAACACACCGCCGCCTCAGAGTTTTATCGCCATACAAAGTGCATAGCTGTCTTTCCATTTCGATCCCATCAGACTCAGTCTGGAGCGGATGTAGCCCTTTGCCCACAGTCCTTGCCGATCATGACAGACTTGATGCTGTGAACCAGGTACATGACAACTACCCACCACTCACATCTGGTCCGATACGTCTATCCGATAGAATGGGTGCGACTGGAGTGATCTAATATTGAATTGCTGATCCTGTGCAGACTCGCCGACTCGCTCCTGTGCTGATGGCCGGAGAGCTCTTCATTTCGAGCCCTTAGCCTCGGTACCGTGTTTTTGAAACTTCACACTACTCTTACTTGCGAGTAAATTCTATCTCTGCTTTGACGTCTTCTCGGCTCTTGACGCCTGTCCCACCCTCGAGCGCCGCTACGCGTACCTGCTTGGTCAGGAGTGTCTCCGCTCGAGTTTCCTCCAGTGCAATACAACGATCAATGCTGTTTTCTCCTCCACCAATGGATGTGAGGTCTGTGATGCCTAGAATGCATCTTGGAAGATCTGAGCGCTAGTGCGCTGATACAGATGGTTTGGGGCCAAAGGTCAGCGCTTAATCAGTATTCGGGTCCCAAATGTTCTTCTTTCTGACCGATCGAATCAACACGCACAGGCCCCGTGGAATGCACGGGCTTATGGGTATATGCGAGTCCATACCGATTGCTCCACGTTGAAAACACGCAGCGTGCACTGCAGTCTGAAGCGGGTGTGGTGAATATGACTATTACACATGTATGCTACTGATCTCCTCCGTCTCGTTTGGCTGATAACGATGGAAAATGTACAGATGTCCGTCTAGCTCTAACAACGAGACGGCCACCACTTCCCCTGGACCTGACTCCCTCCTGCTCCATATTGTTTCGTAGTGCGGAAGCCGCGTTGCCTTGCCTCCACTTACACCGCAAGATATCTAGCGCTCGTTATCGACTCCGATACGAACATCACCTTCAGCCTCACCTGTGCCCAGACCCATTCTCTAGATGCTCTACCGTCTCTGCTGTGACCTAGCTGTGGTCCATGTTATCACTTCAAGGCGGATATCATTCTTCTAGAGTTCCGATTGGAAAGTCAGAAGCTCACGAGTTCGGTATACAGTTTTATCAGTGATTACAATGCGATGTACCAGTCGATGCTCAGGTTCATTTGGAGATTCTTTGATTGGAATCATAATACAATTAGGTATTGGGACCCAAGAGAGCACTCGGAAACGATCGAGAAAGCGCTACCCACCAAAAGGGTCATATATCCGTGGCATGAACTTCTTTCGACCGCTGTGCAAAGGCATCGAGGGAAATGTCGTATTTGTTTTCTGAGGACACTGCACCTCACTTTGGTGCGTATGCAACTGTGGACATGGAAAGAAATCTACCGAATACTGGCATGACCACTTCATGATGTGCATCATATCTCTTTCCGCGCTGACGTTCATGAAAGAGACGCTGTCAAAGACATGCTGCACCCGTATTTGGTTGCTCATCAGATGTCATAGAATTGGCTCGAACGAGATCGTACAGGCTTGGGCATAAGCTGTGCGCACCTCATGTTTTCAGTGAGTTCTCTTGTCTTCATATAAGACCGCCAGGATACTTCTCCACGCTAGCACTCTTTACACCTTCACTCAACTGCATTCCACCTTCTTCAATAATCATTATGAGCGACGACCCGCAGGTTGATCTAATGAATGTCGACGGCCCGACCCCTCCATCTGATCAGTCTGGAAATAGAGATATTGTAGGTCTGCTCGGTTACTCTCGATGACGGATGCTGACTTTGATGACAACAGATCATGGCAGAGCCCCTTGTACGTGCCGATATCATGTATGGGACGTCTCTTTGTCTATTTCTGACAGCTCTCTCGTAGGAGCGCGAGGAACGATTTGTTGAGATCGGAGACGACGATCTGTTTGGTGATGAAGGATTGGATTCCGACGAGATGGAAGAGCTTGCAGCATCCATTGTCAGGGAGTTCAAGGAAGAGAGCCAGTTGTCATCGCTGGAGACACCTCTGTATCTTCTCCGGGAATCTCTTGGCCTCCGTCCTGCGGATCACCCCCTTCACTCGAACTCTTCGGACAATCTTGCTCTAGCTTTGCTCGTTAAGTTCCATTGGACAGGAGACAACTCGTCTTTGAACGAGGCCATGCTCCTGATGCACTCCAAGCTGAGCGAAGGCACGCTTCCACAACAATCGGCTCGAGCGCAACCCGAAATCGAGGTCTCGGAAGAAAAGAGACTACGAGTATGTCAATGTATACCATCGTTCTCCAAAATTTTAACTCATTTCACTGCAGGACGAATTTGACAAGGAGAGCTACGATGCCCTTCCAAACGAGGACGAAGCCTCCTCAATGACAGAGTTCGCTCTTGACTCATTGACAACCTTTTGTCAGTCTGAACCGATCTCGAGCCTCGACACTGCAATCCTTCTCTACCGCCAGGTCGCCAGTAGGTGTGGACATACAGGTGGCAAACAAGTAGCTGCCATGTATGGACTTGCAGACGCTCGCGTCTTGCGATGGTTTCACAGCCAACAATCCGAGGATCTGGATGAAGCGGTGTCCATATTACGGGACTGCATCCGACTCCCGCCTGCTGCGTATCCTAATAGACCACAGCTGCGTTCCAGGCTCTGTGCGTGTCTGGTGACAATGTTTCTTGTGACTGGGCAGCCCAACCTCATCGCTGAGGCAGTGCGTCTGCGTTTTCAGGAATCTCGACATAATCAGGATATGGAAGCATTGTATTTGGCGCAGCAGGCTACGGAGCTCTACCAGCAATACGTGTCGTCTGGGGACATCACAGACCTCGACTGTGCTGCCCTGATTTTTGAGGAGGCCGTTTGCATGATAGCGGAACAGCATCCTGCGCGTTGCGAAATTCTCAAATTTTTGGCTAGCATGTTTATCCTCAGGTTCCGGCAGACTAGTCAGAGCATGGATCTGGATCGTGCTGTCGCATTGCTGGAAGAGATGATGCCACTCGTCTCGACCACTGACGAACATGTTTCGGCTATTTTGGGAGCGGTCGCCAGTGGTCTCTTGGAACGATTCGTGGACACGTCTCAGAGAGCTGGAGACCTCGAGCAGGCGATTTCAATGTATCGAAAGGGCCTCACGCTTCTCCCCTTCCCGCATGCCCTTCGTTCGACCTCTTTGAACAATCTCGCGTCTGCAGTCCTGACGCGATTTGAGCGGACAGGACAAGCGGTAGACCTCGAGGAGGCCATCTCGCTTCACAGACAGTCTCTCATGCTCCACCCTGCCCCGCATCCCCATCGTTCAGGCTCTCTGAACAATCTCGCTGGTGCAGTCCTGACGCGATTTAAGCAGACAGGACAAGCGATAGACCTCGAGGAGGCCATCTCGCTTCACAGAGACTCTCTCATGCTCCGCCCTTCCCCGCATCCCGATCGTTCAACCTCTTTGAACAATCTCGCCAATGCAGTCTGGACGCGATTTGAGCAGACAGGACAAGCGGTAGACCTCGAGGAGGCCATCTCGCTTTACAGAGAGTCTCTCATGCTCCGCCCTGCCCCGCATCCCGATCGTTCAACCTCTTTGAACAATCTCGCCAATGCAGTCTGGACGCGATTTGAGCAGACAGGACAAGCGGTAGACCTCGAGGAGGCCATCTCGCTTCACAGAGACTCTCTCATGCTCCGCCCTGCCCCGCATCCCGATCGTCCATCCTATTTGAACAATCTCGCCAATGCAGTCCTGACGCGATTTGAGCAGACAGGACAAGCGGTAGACCTCGAGGAGGCCATCTCGCTTCACAGACAGTCTCTTATTCTCCGCCCTGCCCCGCATCCCGATCGTTCAACCTCTTTGAACAATCTCGCTGGTGCAGTCCTGACGCGATTTGAGCAGACAGGACAAGCGGTAGACCTCGAGGAGGCCATCTCGCTTTACAGAGACTCTCTCATGCTCCGCCCTGCCCCGCATCCCGATCGTTCAACCTCTTTGAACAATCTCGCTGGTGCAGTCCTGACGCGATTTGAGCAGACAGGACAAGCGGTAGACCTCGAGGAGGCCATCTCGCTTCACAGACAGTCTCTCATGCTCCACCCTGCCCCGCATCCCCATCGTTCAGGCTCTCTGAACAATCTCGCTGGTGCACTCAAGACGCGATTTGAGCAGACAGGACAAGCGGTAGACCTGGAGGAGGCCATCTCGCTTTACAGAGACTCTCTCATGCTCCACCCTGCCCCGCATCCCCATCGTTCAGGCTCTCTGAACAATCTCGCCAATGCAGTCCTGACGCGATTTGAGCAGACAGGACAAGCGATAGACCTCGGGGAGGCCATCTCGCTTTACAGAGACTCTCTCATGCTCCGCCCTGCCCCGCATCCCCATCGTTCAGCCTCTTTGAACAATCTCGCCAATGCAGTCTGGACGCGATTTGAGCAGACAGGACAAGCGGTAGACCTCGAGGAGGCCATCTCGCTTCACAGAGACTCTCTCATGCTCCGCCCTGCCCCGCATCCCCTTCGTTCAACCTCTTTGAACAATCTCGCCAATGCAGTCATGACGCGATTTGAGCAGACAGGACAAGCGGTAGACCTCGAGGAGGCCATCTCGCTTCACAGGCAGTCTCTCATGCTCCACCCTGCCCCGCATCCCCATCGTTCAGGCTCTCTGAACAATCTCGCTGGTGCACTCAAGACGCGATTTGAGCAGACAGGACAAGCGGTAGACCTCGAGGAGGCCATCTTGCTTTACAGAGACTCTCTCATGCTCCGCCCTTCCCCGCATCCCGATCGTTCAGCCTCTTTGAGCAATCTCGCTGGTGCAGTCCTGACGCGATTTGAGCAGACAGGACAAGCGGTAGACCTCGAGGAGGCCATCTCGCTTCACAGAGACTCTCTCATGCTCCACCCTGCCCCGCATCCCCTTCGTTCAACCTCTTTGAACAATCTCGCGTCTGCAGTCTCGATGCGATTTGAGCAGACAGGACAAGCGGTAGACCTGGAGGAGGCCATCTCGCTTTACAGAGACTCTCTCATGCTCCACCCTGCCCCGCATCCCCTTCGTTCAACCTCTTTGAACAATCTCGCGTCTGCAGTCTCGATGCGATTTGAGCAGACAGGACAAGCGGTAGACCTGGAGGAGGCCATCTCGCTTTACAGAGACTCTCTCATGCTCCACCCTGCCCCGCATCCCCATCGTTCAGCCTCTTTGAACAATCTCGCCAATGCAGTCCTGACGCGATTTAAGCAGACAGGACAAGCGATAGACCTCGGGGAGGCCATCTCGCTTTACAGAGACTCTCTCATGCTCCGCCCTGCCCCGCATCCCCTTCGTTCAACCTCTTTGAACAATCTCGCGTCTGCAGTCTCGATGCGATTTGAGCAGACAGGACAAGCGGTAGACCTCGAGGAGGCCATCTCGCTTCACAGAGACTCTCTCATGCTCCGCCCTGCCCCGCATCCCCTTCGTTCAACCTCTTTGAACAATCTCGCCAATGCAGTCATGACGCGATTTGAGCAGACAGGACAAGCGGTAGACCTGGAGGAGGCCATCTCGCTTCACAGAGACTCTCTCATGCTCCTCCCTGCCCCGCATCCCCATCGTTCAGGCTCTCTGAACAATCTCGCGTCTGCAGTCTCGATGCGATTTGAGCAGACAAGACAGGCGGTAGATCTCGATGATGCGATCTTCCTTTTTAGAGAAGCCCTCGACTGTCTTCCTGAATCACACCCTGCTAGATGTGCCACTCTTTACCATCTGGCCCTCAGTCTCCTCAAGAAAATCAGCTCAAATGATTCTTCTTCCAATGACTCCCTGAACGCCGCTATCAACCTGTTTCGTACCGCAGTCAGATGTGAAACCGCATCTGTACTGGATCGCTTGAAGGCCGCTCAACTGTGGGCGCGCCATGCAGATAAACTCAACCACGCATCTGCATTGGAAGCATATCAGGCGGCCATTCAATTATATCCTCTTGTTTCCATGCTCGTCTCAAGTGTCAGTTCTCGCACTCAACTCCTCGCCGAAAAACTAGATTCCCATCTCCCCAATGATGCAGCGGCGTGTGCTATCCGGATGGGCCATCTCGAGCAGGCTGTTGAACTCCTTGAAGAGGGGAGAGCTGTTTTTTGGTCGCAGGCCTTGAAGCTCAGGACTCCCTTGGATGATCTTCGGCCGGCACATCCTGACCTCGCGCAACGATTCCAAGATACATCTCAGGCTCTGGAGCGACGCTCACTTCAACCCACTCCAATGACTATACAGGACAATGCACGAGGCGTAATGACTATGGAGGCTGAGGCTGCGGCATTCCGTCGACTGCACGAGGATTGGTTAGCGAGACTCGAAGACATCCGGGCTCTTTCGGGATTCGAGGAGTTCATGCGTCCGAAGAAATTTGCATTATTGAAGCGAGCTGCATCTCATGGACCAGTCGTTCTTCTCAATACTGCCAGATCATCATGCGATGCATTGATAGTCACGTCAGCTGGCATTCAGCACATTCCGCTTTCCACTGATGATCGATCTCCCTCGGATGCTATCGTTCTTGCCAACTCCATACTGAGGGCTCCGCACGCATTATCGAATTCGTTTCCGCAAGATCTCCTGGGTACCCTAGACACACTTCATCAAAATGCACTGAAGGCTCGTGACATTGCTCTATCCGAACAAGACCGTCACTGGAATAAGGGTGGAAAGCCTCGTCGAACAACTCATTTGAGTCCAGACGACATTATCAATAGGGTGCTGGTGACACTATGGACATTCGTCGTCAAACCAGTGGTCTGCGGATTGAAGCTCGAGGTAAGCTAATCTCCTCCGCCGCACTGTTGAGACACGGCTAACCTATAACCTGTGCAGAGATCAGAGTCACCGCCGCGAGTTTGGTGGTGCCCAACTGGCCCATTCGCGTTCCTCCCGATCCATGCAGCTGGAATTTATGACCCAGATCTAGGAGATCTCAAGAACGCATCAGAATACATGGTGTCATCTTACACACCGACGCTCAACGCCTTGCTTGTTTCTCCACCCACTACAAGCGCAAATCCATTCAGAATGTTGGCGGTCACACAACCCAATGCCCCGAGGCAAGCGCCGCTGTATAACGCCCAAATTGAAATGGATAAGATCGAGGCACGCGTACCGGCGTCGAGCCTCATCAAGCAGTGTTCTTCATCGGCATCCGAGGTTCTGTCCTCCCTTCTGAATATCTCCATAGCACACTTTGCATGCCATGGTGTCCAAGATCCCTCCGATCCGCTCGAGAGCGCGCTGATTCTCCACGACGGTCCTTTGAAGATCTCTAAAATCATGGAAATGGCTCTCCCGAACGCTTCCTTGGCTTTCCTCAGTGCATGCCAGACTGCCAAAGGAGACCTGAAACTTGCCGATGAAGCGACACATCTTGCGGGGACGATGCTATTCTCTGGATTCCGCGGAGTGGTTGGTACTATGTGGTAATTCTTTAATCTTTCATCCGACCATGATATCCATCTCACTCGGAATCCACTAGGTCCATGTCTGATCCTGACGGCCCCGTGATTGCCGACGAATTTTACAGTCACCTTTTTGAAGGTCATCAAGACGGCTCACATCCCGACACTACGCAAGCCGCTCGAGCGCTGCACCTCGCGGTGAAGAAGTTGCGTGAAAATCTTGGCGACAAGTCTTTTTTGCGATGGGTTCCGTTCGTTCATTTCGGGTTGTGATTATTCAATGTGAGGGTGGAAACGAGGGTGGTAGGGTACGCTGGTCATCCCTGTTTGTCTTTAGAATGCACATTCCGTATTTCATCATGTTAATTCCTCTGTTTCTCGACCCCTGCTCTCATTTCTTGCCATATCCGTACTGTGTTCTGCTTTCAATAGTCCTATCGCTGCCGGACAAGATTGTTCCTGTTCATGTGTTTCATTGACGCGTCACTCTTTTTGTTTGTCTCACAGTGCCTCGCCCCGTTCGATTATGTACTATGCATATGCTCTCGTATAGAAATGCACCACATGCATACGTGCGGACAGGTGGGGTTCGCCTACGTCGAGATCCTGAGCTGAAGACCCGATGCAGTATACTTGTGTTGCGAATGAGAATGCTGCTCGATTATACGAGGCCTGGATCCTGCTGCGTTATACGGACCAAGGGTCGCGAGTAACAACAGCGTGCAAGAACTCATGTAGGGTTGTGCTTGTCTGAGTCGACACTTCTGCATGCCATCTTAGACTTCCTCACGCTCCGTTGCGAAGAGATTCGTGCTGGTGACAAGGAAAAGGGTATGCAAGTAGGTCAGAAGCTGGTTTATCAGGGTGGAATGGGTGTGGGTGTGGTTCAACGCGCGCGCACTACGGATCTCAGCAGATAGAAAAAGAAATTTGCGCGACGCTCGTTGGATGCGTCTGCCAGCCACCTGCTCTAGCAGAGGCGAGAGAGGAGACGCATACAGCAACGGAATGAAAATCAGCATACATGCCGAGGGATGTATAGTATTTTGCACGTACCAGACTCTGTACGGCCCCGACCGGCGACGTCGAGGTGAATGTATGCGCGATCGTCGGCCCAGCGCTGTCGCACAGAAAGTGAAGGGTGCTGTCGTCGACTCGACGCGATCACTGACGGCTGCCAGTGGACGGCGCACGTGCGAAGCCGCGGATGCTCGGCGAGCTCGAACGAGCACAGTGTTGATCGGGCAGAAGATCGGTCTTTTCTAGTGTCACACGAAAGCAGGAGGGCAGAAGGACGAGGGAAATGATGATGGTCTTGCTGAAAAGACAAGTGTACGCGCCGATCATGCGGGCACGCTGCGAATCAGCAGGAGGATAGAGAAGAGGGAGGATGGCGAGGTGATGTAGAGCCTTCTACGTGTAAGCAAATAAAACGTATGAAGTACGACCTGTCGCATGGCATCGATGCGCGGCGTCGAGTACCGCCCACCGCCTGCTCTTGCACGCCTCGGCCGAAGTGCTGCGAAAGGAGTGCTAGCGAAGGGCAGTGTCGGTGGCGAAGACAAGTGCCAGGAGATGGGATCTCGCGGGGAGCAGCACGACCGCAGAGGATCGCAGAGGGGATCCGCGCTAACCCAGGCCTTAACGAGCCGGATCGAGCGAGATGTCGGCGTTGCCAATCGCCGAGTCTGTCGATGGGCGGATCTGGTGCGATCACGTTGCGGGGAAGAACAGAGGGCGAGGATCCGCGCTGCTCTGATTCGCAGGCTCCGCATCGGCGGGGAGTGGATCCAGCGTCCTGGAGAAGGGAGGAAAGACGCAGTGATGGGCGGCAGGATGGGGCCGCATACGCAATGGGGAGATGCACACTTGAGAATAACGAGGTCGGAGATCTTGGAGGGTATGCGAGGCCAGTATCAAGGCGTACCAGTCAATTAAACCCTACACTGAGATCATTCTGCCTTTCCAGCTCTCCCCAAGGTCCTTCCGCATTCCTCGTTGAAGCAATGTCCTTTAAGACATCGCACCCTGCAGAGCACCCCTTGCCTCGCAAGATTTTTTGTTCAAAGATAGATCAAAAGGGATTCAGAGAAGAACAGAGCATGGTTGCAGGTGCTCTGAACACAAGCAGGAGTGAGTGAGTAGGAGACGCCCGGTGGGAACCAAACTCTCTGGAGTCTTCTTCAAGGAGGCTTGGCCTCGGTCGTGCGGTTTAGTCGGACTGGCTCGAGGTTCGAAGAGCAGGCAATAAGACAAGAGAGTCGATAGCCCGTTAATGTGGGCGTCTTGACGTCGTGACGACAAAGCGGAGGCAGCAGCAAGGCACTTGACGGCGGGGTTAGGGTCAAACTCATCCTTTGCCTCCGAAAGCAGTGACCATTGTTCAAATGACCTGTGCTCACATGCCCTTGCCAAGTGGACAGCATCCTCCGCAGTCCCCACCCGGTGAATCGGGCGACAGCTGTATTTGACAGAGAACTCGTAGCGCGGGTGCATTTCCACCGCCTACCCAGCCTTCGCTTGGCCTCACGGACTAGCGACCGCTCTGCATTTGCACTCTAATTCCCGGTGTGAACCAGATCAAGGATTCAAGGTGAGCTCGCACGATTTCCTGGGGTCACTATCCCATTTGCTTTTGCTCAACGCTACATATCTAAACCGCACCCCAAATTAGAGCGTACGCGATGCTAGACAAGGAAATAAATTTCACGAATATGGTACGACCAGTCGATCATGTGCGTATCCTCTCTTTGTGCGCTGTCATTCGAATAGACACTGACAAATACATACAGCACCTCTATCATAGCACTGGCCCGGAGAGACATGCAGTCCTGTTCATGAGCTGTACATCGCCTCGTGTTTTAATTTGACTCCCATCGACATAAACCCACCAATGGCCAACTCTCTAGCGGGCGTGGACGGCGTAACTCTCTCATCTGACCAGTTTGTAATTAGGAATATCGTAAGCCTCCTCGTTTGCTGGCGATGATTGATGCTAATTTTGACGATGACAGATGATGGGAGAGCCCCTTGTGCGTCCTTGTATTGTACCGGTCATCTCTTTGTCACTTCCCGACAGCTATTTTGAAGGGACTCGAGGAATCCGCGGAGATAGGAGAGGACGATCTCTCTGACGATCAAAGGATTGATCTGGATGCGATGGAACAGCTGGCGGCACCCATTGTCAGGGACTACAAGGAAGAGAGTCAAGTAATACCACTAGAGGCTGCTCTGGATCTTCTCCATAAACCCCTCGACCTCTGTCCTGCGGATTATCCTCTTCACTCCAACTCTTTGGACAATCTTGCTCTTCCTTTATCAGATAAATTCCATTGGACTGGAGACGTCTCGAATATGGACGAGGTCATACGTCTGATGGATATCAAGGTGACCGAAGGTACGATGCTACAGCAGTCAAATCAAAAGATTGAGGTTCCCAAAGACAAGGAATCACGAGTATGTGGATACACGTTATTATCTCTCGACAATGAGAACTCATCGCACAGCAGGGCGAATGTAACAACGAGAGCTACAATCTTCTGCCAAACAAGGACAAAGCATCTTCGATAATCGAACTCGCTCTTGACTCGTTGACAAAACTCTGTCAGTCTGGATCGATCTCGAACCTCGAATCTGCAAACCTTCTCTACCGCCAGGTCATCAGTCAGCGTGGGCGCCTGAATGACAAACATGCGGCTGCCATATATGGGCTCGCCGAAGCTCGTGTTTCACGCTGGTTTCATAGTCGACAGACTGGGGATTTGGATGAAGCAGTGTCCACATTTCGGGACTGCCTCCAATTCCCGCTTACTGTCTATTCTGATCGACCACAACTTCAATCTAGACTTTGCGCATGTCCGGTCACAAAATTTCTTGCGACAGGGCAGCCCCACTTCATCACCGAGGCAGCGCGTCTGTGTCTTCGGGTCTCAGAACGATATAACCAGGGTGCAGAAGCATTGTATTTGGCGCAGCAAGCCGTGGGGGTTGGCCTGCTACTCATATCGTCGAAGGACGCGACAGACATCGACCGTGCTGCTCTGCTTCTAGAGGCAGCTGCCTGCATGATACGAGAACAGAATCCTGCATATTGCCATATACTCAAACACCTCGCTATCGCGGTTACTCTCAGGTGTCTGCAGACTGGTCAGGGTTCTGATCTGGATCGTTCCAGTGTATTACTGGAAGGCATGATGCAGTCTCTACCGAACAAGGACAGAAGTGTTTCATTCATGTTTGGGGAGGTCGGCGATTCATTTGTGGAGCGATTCAAGCATACGACCCAAACTGGAGACCTCGAGAAGGCTAATTCAATGTGTCGAAAGGGTCTCATGCTTCTCCCTACCCCACATCCCGATCGGTCTTCCTATGTGAACAGCCTTGGAAGCGCATTCATGGTGCGATTCAAGCAGAGTGGCCAGGCGGTAGACCTCGAAGAGGCCATCTCGCTTTACCGAGAGACTCTCATCCTCTGCCCTGCCATACATCCTATTCGTTCAGTGTCATTGAACAATCTCGGGAACGCAGTCAAGACGCGATTTGAGCAGACAGGACAGGTGGCAGACCTCGAGGAGTGCATCTCGCTTCACAGAGAGTCTTTCATGCTCCGCTCTGCCCCGCATCCCCTTCGTTCAGACTCTTTGAACAATCTCGCGTCTGCAGTCAAGACGCGATTTGATCGAGCAGGACAGGTGGCAGACCTCGAGGAGGCAATATCGCTCCACCGAGACTCTCTCATCCTCCGCCCTGCCCCGCATCCCGATCGTTCGGCCTCTTTGAACAATCTCGCCAATGCAGTCCTGACGCGATTTAAGCAGACAGGACAAGCGGTAGACCTGGAGGAGGCCATCTCGCTTTACCGAGAATCTCTCAAGCTCCACCTTGCACCGCACCCCGATCGTTCAATGTTATTGAACAATCTCGGGAACGCAGTCAAGACGCGATTTGAGAAGACAGGACAGGTGGCAGACCTCGAGGAGGCCATCTCGCTTCACAGAGAGTCTCTCATGCTCCGCTCTGCCCCGCATCCCCTTCGTTCAGACTCTTTGAACAATCTCGGAGCGGCTGTCCTGACGAGATTTCAGCAGACGGGACAGGTGGCAGACCTCGAGGAGTCCATCTCGCTTCACAGAGAGTCTCTCGGGCTCCTCCCAGCCCCACATCCCAATCGTTCAATATCATTGACCAACCTCGGAAATGCAGTCTTGATGCGATTTCATCGAGCAGGACAGGTGGCAGACCTCGAGGAGGCAATATCGCTCCACAGAGACTCTCTCATCCTCCGCCCTGCCCTGCATCCCGGTCGTTCAAGGTCTTTGGCCGGTCTCGCCAATGCGATCATAACGCGATTCTGGCAAACAGGACAGGCGGTAGACCTCGAGGAGGCCATCTCGCTTTACCGAGAATCTCTCAAGCTCCGCCCTGCACCGCATCCTGTTCGTTCAGCGTTATTGGACAATCTCGGAGTGGCAGTCATGACAAGGTTTCAACAGATAGGACGGGCGGTAGACCTTGAGGAGGCAATTTCGCTTCACCGTGACTCTCTCACTCTCCGTCCAACCCCACATCCCGATCGTTCAATGTCATTGATGAATCTCGGAAGCGCGGTCATGGTGCGATTTCAGCAGACAGGACAGATGGTAGACCTTGATGAGGCAATCTCGCTTTACAGAGGCTCTCTCATGCTCCGCCCTGCACCGCATGTTGATCGTTCCAAGTCGTTGAACAACCTTGGAATCGCAGTCAAGATGCGATTTGAGCGGACAGGACAGGTGACAGACCTCGAGGAGGCAATCTCGCTTCACAGAGATGCTCTAATGCTCCGCCCTCCATCGCATCCCGATCGTTCAATGTCATTGAACAACCTCGGTAACGCAGTCATAGCGCGATTTGAGCAGACAGGACAAGCGGTAGACCTCGAAGAGGCAATCTCGCTTCACCGAGACTCTCTCATCCTCCACTCTGCCCCGCATCTCGATCGTTCAACCTCTTTGAACAATCTCGCCATTGCGGTAATGACGAAAGTTGAGCAGACAGGCCAGGCAGTAGATCTCGATGAGGCAATCTCGCTTTACCGAGAATCTCTCATCCTTCGCCCTGCCCCGCATCCCTTTCGTTCAGGCGCTTTGCACAATATCGCAAATGCACTCATGACACGATTCAATCAGACGCGGCACATTGCAGACCTCGATGAAGGAATCTTACTTCGTACAGAAGCCCTCGACTGTCTTCCTATGTCACATCCTCATAGATGCTTCATCCTCTTCCGCCTAGCTTCCAGCCTCCTCAAGAAAATCAGCTCGAATGATTCATCCTTGAATGGATCCCTGGATACAGCGGTCGACCTGTTTCGTACCGCAGTCAGATGTGAAACCGCATCTGTACTGGATCGCTTGAAGGCTGCTCAAACGTGGGCTCGCTGTGCAGATGAACGCAACCATACATCTGCATTGGAAGCATATCAGCTGGCCATTCAATTATATCCTCTGGTTTCTATGCTCGCCTCAAGTATCAGTTCTCGCACTCAACTCCTCGCTGACAAACTCGATCCTCATCTACCTGCTGATGCCGCGGCATGTGCCATCAGGTTGGGACAACTTGAGCAGGCCGTTGAGCTCCTTGAAGAAGGCAGAGCCATTTTTTGGTCCCAGGCCTTGCAGTTTAGGACTCCCTTGGATGATCTTTGGCAGGCACATCCGGACCTCGCACACAAGCTTCAAGATCTTTCGCAAGCTCTCGAATGGAGTTCATTCCGCGATAGCCAGATGTCTCTCCGTGAGGATGCACGAGGTGTGGTGACGATGGAAGCTGAGGCCGCAACATTCCGCCGACTGCACGAGGATCGGTTGGCGACCTTGGAGCGAATTCGGGCCCTGGAAGGATTCAACCAGTTCCTTTTTCCGCAGAATATCGAGTCGTTAAAGAGGGCTGCAGCTCGTGGGCCTGTCGTTCTCCTCAATGCCAACCTAGCTTCATGCGATGCATTGATAGTCACGCCAACTGGTGTCCAGCATGTCCCACTTTCCATCAACTTGACTGGTCTAGATATCGCTACTCTTGCCGCCTCCGTATATTCTGCCGCATCCAAGTCTCGGCTGCCCCAGACGATTCAAGATTCCCTCAAATCCCTAGTGCAAGAAGCGGGAGGCAGTCGTAGTGGTCTCGATGAAGAGGATCGCAAACAACGGCCAAGCGCTCAATCTCGGCCTAATCGACCTCCTCCCGACATCTTACGCGACGTCCTGGCAATATTATGGAGATCGGTGGTACGACCCGTGATCGTCACTTTGAAGCTGAAGGTACGTTTCGAGCTTGCACAGTCTGACATCGGTTGGCTGACATGATTTGATCAGAAAATGGATTGCGAGTCAATCGAGGGTCTTCCACGCGTATGGTGGTGCCCAACTGGGTTATTCTCCATTCTCCCTGTCCATGCCGCCGGAATCTATCACACCACTATGGGCGACCTCGAGAATGCATCGGAGTACATGATCTCATCCTATACTCCTACTCTGCGATCTCTACTTGTTCCTCCGCCTATAATCAATAGACATCCTTTACAGATGCTGGTCGTCATACAGCCCGAAACCGAGGGTTACAATGCTTTACACGGCACCAGAGAAGAAATGAGACGAATCGAGCGACATGTTCCATCGCCCAGTCTCGTCAAATTCGGGTCTGTCGGTGCTCCACCATCAAATGTTGAAGCTGTTCTTGGACATCTTCCTCATGTTTCGATCGCACACTTTGCATGTCACGGTGTGCAAGACCGCGACCCGCTCGAGAGCGCACTTCTTCTGAACGATGGTCGTCTTGATATCGCCACCATCATGAAGCTGCCTCTCCCGAATGCTTCGCTGGCTTTTCTCAGTGCATGCGAGACTGCGCAGGGAGATCTCAGACATATCAATGAGGCTATGCATCTTGCCGCCACGATGCTGTTTGCTGGATTCCGCGGAGTGGTCGGCACCATGTGGTGAAGCATTGTGTTTATAATTCACTCGCTCTCGATGTGTACTCACTCGGTGCTCAACAGGTCTATCGCTGATCCTGACGGCCCTGTGATCGCGGACGAATTTTATGGCCACCTGTTTCAAGGACATGAGGATGGATCACAGCCCGACTGCACACAAGCTGCTCGAGCACTGCACCTCGCTGTCATTAATCTGCGCAAACGGTTCCAAGAGGGGTCCTTTCTACGCTGGGTGCCGTTTGTTCATTATGGGCTGTAGTAGATCGCTCGGGGGTGCAGTTTCGGGTTATAGGACTCTATGTTGGTTATCTCTGTCTGCAGAATAGGAGTACTTCATTGTGGAGTCTATACGAACGACAGAGCGTGAATACAGATTGTGGGAAAGGAACCGTTTAGGTTGAACATGTATTTGTCGACACTGCTGCCTGCCAATCCATGGGCTCCGCAGCGAGAACAAACCTGCCCAAGCAATGTATTGACAGAGATATGTTCGTACGTCAGACAGCGGTATATCGGGGGAAAAGGGGTTTGGGAATGATGTAACACTTGGAGAGCGTACTCTTCTGTGCTCCAAGTCCAAGTCACCCTCTGCCTCCGAAAGCATCACCTTTCAAACGCCCGAGCTCGGAGAACCCGCGCCTGCCACCCTCGCTTGTCCTCGCGGACTAGTGACCGCTCTGCATCTGCACTCCAATTCCCAGCGTGTGAGCGTTGGGAACCAGATCAAGAATCCAACTGAGCTCGCACGGTTTCGTGGTCGCTGTCCCAATTGCTTTTGCTCGATGCTACATATCTTCGCGCGGCAGGTTTCTTTCATGATTTCCTTTCCCTCCCCTGACGTGTGTCCAGCCCGTACGAGCGTTCTCAATCGGCACCGGCTAATGATTCTCATGCCTCGACCAGCGCGCCACTGGCTTTCCGGACAAGCCCGCGCCCGCCCTCACGATCACACCTGATACCACTTGACCTCTAGTCGACTATACCATGCTGGCAGAAACGCTGCGGTACGCATAGCGCATGTAGGATTGCCTTCTTCTCTTGAACGTGTATGGGATAGATTTACGAGGAGCTGGAGGAGAATCCTCGAGGAAGCGAGGTTCATGCACTTCATGGTGCACTCGCCGTCTGCTTTGTCGAGCGTTTCCCTCAGAGACGGCGCACGAGCTAGCAAGGTACACGTCCACGCACCTGAATCTCACTGCCCATGCCACGGTATATCAAAAATATTCACGGCCATCAGGTCCATGGCCTCCCACACGAGCCACGACGTCAGCGAGGTTGTTGCTCACGCTACCTTCGACTGCTTCGGCGCGTCGGGATCTACAGCTGCTCGCTTGCAATAGTCGAGCGCCGCGAATACCGGTAGCGTCACATGCGGCAAAAGTCGACCATGAGCGGTCCCTCCTTGGTCAAGGCGTGAGATGCTCACCGCGCATGCTTGGACTCGTCCAATCCGAAGGATACACTGAGCCAGGCTATGAGCATTGCATATGGGCGATCACATGCGAGCGTTCATAGTGAAAGCGACGCAGACAGCCATCAGCGGCTACGCGCCTCCACTATCGACAGTCTGGCCTGGAACAGCGTGCTGGGCGGAACGAAGGACCACTCACCTGGCCTCGAGTGAGTTGCGACGAGTCCGCGAGCGACGCAGAGCGCTCAAGAGCGTAAAGCATGACAGCCACGCAGGGAGTGGGAAGCGGGGACGTTGAGCGCGGTGTATGCTGTCGTGATAGGGAGACGAGGAACTACGGCGACCAACACAAGAGCAAAGCGTACACATTCATTGCGAGCGCCGCACGGTGTCCTCAGCCGCTCTCTATCGGACGTGCAAAACGCATATATGCAGGAAGAGAATCGCAAAATGACGATCGATGATGAATCCACGCAAGCACGCACCCATCCTGCTTTGCTGAGTTCCGCGCGGAGCCTCCGCGAGCTCGTTGCCTCTGATGAAAGAGTATGCATGGCATCATTCAATCGAGAGTCGTTGCGCAAAAAGGGAGAGGAAGAGAGGGGCCCAAGCCGTCGCTGGTCTGCAGACGAACACGAGGGACAGACACGAAAGGGTGTTCACGGCGGACTCACGGCGCGAGCGCCATACGTGCGCACCGCTGACTAGATGCCTTTCACTCACCAGTTCCTCTGCAAAACCCCTCACCTAAAAGCTAAAGGCTGCTTCGTTGACAAGAGCAGATCAGACGGTGGGCAACGCGATCAGAATGATCAGGGAGAAAACGAGCGCGCGATGGGGATGGCTTCGGTAACGAGCGAGGAGCACAGCGTCGATGCGGGGCCGTGGACAGGCACGAGGGAGGGGATGGGCCCGCGAGTTGCTCTATATATAGCCCGCGGGTTGGAGGCAGCCTCGAGCGGCGTTGATCTGCGCCGGAAGAGCGACGTGGAACGCCGAGCTGCGTCGCGTTCCGGGCCCAGGCAAGGGCGGGATCCGCGTCGATGAGCGAGCGAGAGCACCGGCGGAGGGCGGAGCGATGAGACAGACGGGCGTGGATCGGGCCCGGCCGGGACCAGTCGAGGCCAATCGCTGTGTCCCATCGTGTCACTTCCGTCCATGTATGCGCTGTGAATATACGGTCAAGGCGTCTTCAGCGCATGGCGAGTGGAGCTGACAATGTGTCCGTCCGCTCGCAAGCTCACGCCCAGCACGATCCAGGTGCAATGAGTGGGCAGGAAGTGCGTTGTGCAATGCGACGAGTGGAAGAAATCACCGTCGGTGCCGCCGTGGAGACTCCTTCGGAATCCATTTGTCCAAATGAGAAACCCTCGTATGCCGGTTTAGGTTAAACGCATCCCGGTGTCCCCAGCCGCCGGGCGACACGGACGAGCGATAGATTTGGAAAGGGACTGGTGGTCGAAGATCCGCGTCAATCTGGCATGCCGGTGCTAATGGGGCATCTCGATTCCGGGAAGTTGGAGGGGAATCGAGAGATTTCAGAGAGCTGGTGTTCGGGCGAGGAAGTAGGGAGAATACAGCCACGGCACCAGGAGACAACTAAAATGATGATCAGACTAACCATAAATGTCCGCAGGAGAGACTGTGTCCTCGCGATAGAGACCTAGAGAGTTAGAACATTTCAACTCACTGTTTCACAAGCATTATTGGCCCAACGGCGAGATAGAGCGTTGGCAACAAGGAAGGGGGTAAAAATGTCAACTTCGCAAAGTCAGCACTTATTGTCAGGGTTAGGGTTACACCTCTTTGCTCCTCCCGCCGCTCTACGGTTACCAGAAGATTTTCCTCTATGCCGATCGCTATAGCTTCCTGATGCCGCTGCACGCAAATTCTCATTCGACATGGATATTTCAATGATAGAAGGGTGGAGCTGGTTCCCGTGCAACAAATTCTACTTCGGCAAAGTTCACCAGAGCCGGGAGCATACGACACTGGCTCGGAGTAATCAACACACTGTCATGACGCTTCGACACACCTTGACAAACCGAGAGGTCTTTTGCAGCCCGTGTGCGTAGCTTTTGATCTCAACTTGTGAGCACGCAAGAGCTGGAACATCACTTCGAATAGATTTCGAACCCTCGAATGACAGGTAAGGCTCTAACTATTCAATTGCTCTACTTGAGATGTTTTCTTACGCCCGTTTGGCTCCATCGTACAGAACATACGCCTCCTTCGATATCGTGATGCCTTTCGTGGTACGTCATGCCTCTGCATAACATGTTGAACTTTGGTGGTCGGCCGGGTCGTCTACTGTCTCATATTTTTGCCGATCACGCAATAACATGAATGATGCCGTAGGATCGACCGACCCCTCCCCGAACGCCGAACGCGTGAAAGTGAGCGGCCTTGGAATGAGATCAATGGATTCCGGAAATGCCAGCAGCGGTGCCGACGCCATTTGTCCAACGATCCAAGTGGCGACGTCATCCATCGTGCGCCAAGCCCGAGATCCGCTATCCATGAACATTTTTGAATCGCAGGACGGAGCATCGGACGAGACAAAAGTTCTGTGGGTCCAGAATAGTATAAATGCATGGTTGATAGCACTGTATGACGTGATGGAGTTTACACCGCAAGACTTGCTCTGACCCCGCTCAGAAGACGCGTGCAATGGATATGCAGGGTTCCCCCCGAGGATCAATGTCGCCAACCTTCGAATGTTTCATCTTTCGGGGTTGCTCAGACGTTGCGTGGTAGAGATTTCAATTCTATGGCGCCCGAAGACATTCCGTGAAGAGCCCAAGTGCTCACCAGTATCGCCCGTACGGAGTGCTTATGTCTCATGGATTTGTCATTTACTTCCCTATTAATACTGCCATCGACGACAGTGACTTCAGTCCGCTTGTCTCTACTCATCATCCAGTCAATTCTCCTGTCTCTAGCATTCAGCAACTATGTCTTCTGCAGAAGATTCATCTGACCCGATCTCTCGAATCGTGAAAAAGAAAAGGCAACAAACTCAAAGAGCGTGTGACCGATGCAGGAAAAAAAAAGGTTTGTCACATGTCTTGACTCCTTGCCCTGATCTCACCGATCTCGCAAATCGTCAATCTCGGATTTAGTTCGCTGTGAGAGACGACATTCGCTTGCTCTGGTGGAAGCTTTCTGACTTGACATGGTTTCTCAGGCGATGGAATGGAACAGCCAGGCCACTGCTGCTCCAATTGCCTCTCTTTCAATACAGAATGCACTTATCTGTACGTCAAGGTGAGTTACTCGTCCTAACCTCTTTCTGGCAGAGCTCGGCGTTCTACCTCTGACCTCGGATCATAACTTGGAGTGTGCTCGGAGTTGTCGCTGATACTGGCACTGTCCGAGTTCGAGGTCAGGCTCGGTAGGGGTATGCCGATCCGTTTGCTTTTTGTTTCTGACGTTGAGCGCTCGAATGACATTCCTGACTATCTAGAAACGTCGAATCGCGAAGGAGCCCAAGAAAGGGAAACTTCGTTTTAGTCTAGATGCAGGCATGCAAGGATATGTAGATGGTTTGGTAGCGCGAATACAGTCCATGGAGGGCCTCCTCAAGAAGGTACGTCTTCATCGAAGTTGACTTGGTGCATTTATGAATACGCAAACATGCAGGTGTTCCCAGACACTGACATCGATGCCGCGTTGGATGACCGTACGGCGACAACCTCCAGGGAAACCCACAACATCTCTCTAGCAATGACGACGCTTCCGGGGGCAACGCAAATTCAAAATTTCGATCATCCACGGTCCACCGATCGCTTGCCATTCGCTGATCGAGATCCCGACCCCAGCGACGACGAATACGAATACGGCATGTCGCCACAGATCATGGAAAAAATAGAAGCCCTGTCTCTCTATCCTCTTCGCTCTCTCTGGCTGGGGAAATCAAGTGATGTCCGATTGCTCCAGAGGGCCGTCGATGCGAAGTCCAGTTTTTCGGGCGAGCCGCGTGAACGTGATAACTTGGATCCTTTATCATCAACCGCTAGCGCTCAAGTCCCAAAACAGTACCCAGTTTGTCCCGTCCTCTCTCTATATATGTTTTCTTGACTCATCGGAACTGGTTTAGTGGGAGCATCTCGGGGACGACGATAGGCACTATCCGTATCTTTTCCCAGAGGACGACCTCCTTCACAGGCTTGTGAACGTATACTTCCAGCGCATCAACACTTTTCTACCTCTCCTCCACCGACCTACATTCGAGAAATCTATAGCTGACGCTCACCATCTAACCGATGCGCAATTTGGGAAGGTTCTACTGCTGGTCTGCGCGGTCGGTGCCAGATACCTGGACGATCCACGGGTTGTACTAGAGAGGGCAAGTGACTGGTATTCGGCCGGTTACAAGTGGTTTTCGCAGGTTGAGATGGTACAGAAATCTGTGGTGAGCATACCAACTCTGTACGATTTGCAAATTCACGCGGTCAGTGTTCATGTCGTATCCTCGTTGCCTGATCGTTGAATCCGCTTATTCGGCTCAACACAGATTACTGTTCTATACCTGTACGGTTTACAGTCACAAGCGGCTTGGGTGACTGCCGGCGTCGGTCTTCATCTCGCAGTCGACGTGGGCGCGCATAGGAAAAGGGCATATAGAGCCGAAACAACTGTGCGAGATGAGCTTTGGAAACGCGCATTCTGGTCAGCACCGTTGTCGTTGTCCTGGCCGTGAACTGACTAGTTTTCAGGGTCTTGATGTTTGAGGACGTGGCGTTGAGCTCTTATTTGGGCCGACCGTGTGGGATTCTGGAAGAAGAGTGAGTGCGAGCGAGTGTCAGTTGTACTTCTTTGTTGATTGGCTGAAATTTTGCCAGATATGATCTCGAATTTCCAACAGAATGCGACGACGAGTTTTGGGTGCATTCAGATCCCAGAAAGGCGTTCAAACAGCCTCCGGGGGTGCCGTCAACAGTAACAACCTTCTCACTCGCCCTACGGCTCACACAAATACACGCTCGTACCCTTCGAACCATTGTCAGTGTATCTATGAAACATGATTGGACGCGACTGATAGCTTGGAATTTATGACAATAGTATCAGACCAATAAATCCAAAATTTTACATGGATTCCATGGACCTGATTGGGAGCAGCGAGTAGTCTTAAAGTTTGATTCGGATCTTAACAATTGGGTAGATTCTCTTCCCAGTCATTGTGCGCCAGCTCCATTGTCTGTTCCATATGGTCTGCTGACATCACACTCTTTGAATAGTACAGTGGGACATATCACGAAATGACGCCTACACCGACAGCTCTGCTTTTCTTCGTTGTATCTATCATGCCGCTCAGATTCACTTGCACAGACCATCCATTAGCGCGAGAAGCATTGAGTCTCCACTCGCTAGTACCTCGCTTTCAATCTGTATCAATGCCGCACGGTCAAGCGTTCGTATAATATTGATCGAACGGCAAAGGACACATCGGGTTGCAGGCCCACTGCAACAGGTGAGCATTATATCGCTATTCATGGATATTTTCTGATCCTCCGCAGGCAATTTCATTCGTATCTGGTGTGGTTTTGGCTATCAACATCCTGGGGATGAATCGAGCGGATCCCGCCATGGATTTAATCCCACAGTTGAACACTGCGCGTACATGTGTACAGATTTTGAAAGAAGCCGAAGTGAGGTGAGCTCCCTTGTTACCACGCAATCGTCTTGTGCACCGCTAAGTGTTGAAATACAGATGGCATGACGCGGGCAGGATGCGGTAAGTCTCTCTAAGTATCGCTCGCTTCGTCGTTGGTTACTCACAATGACCGGAAGGGACGTTTTGGCCGAGTTGGTCAACTGCGCTGATCATAATCAGCACACGCCCTCATTAACTCACGTTGGCGATCCAGTACCTTCTCACAAAGAGGCGACCATTTCTCCCGAAGCCTACACTTCTGCTTCTACGAGGGCCAAATTCAATGTGACAGGCTATGCCTCTTCTGAAGAATCGCGACCACCGCCAAACTGGAACGGCATCGAACTCCCCCGTGCCGCCATGGTTGACCCTCCAAGGATGGGCGAAAGGACCCCTTACAGTACTGATAACGCGAACGCTGCGTATGCCGAGTACAGCGACTTGCCGTCCATGGTCGCTAGTGACGCCCCATCTGACGTTGCGTGGAACACGCATCTTCCCCAAAACCCGACCGCTGAAGAACAAACCCCCTTGGCGCCGACGACAAACGCGTATAGCTTTGTCCCAAGGTTCTTGCCTGACACATCTCTGCCTGAGTCTTTTACGAGTGGGGCAAGCCAGCAATTATCGGGTCACGCGCCCATTGAAGCTGATTTTACGGCTCTGGTGGCCTCACGGCCTCGCCTCGGCTTCGACGAGTCGGTGCAGGCTCACGACGGCACGTTGGCGACGTGGAATGGTGTGCCGACTTCCTTAGGGTACGTTGATCGCTGTTCAGCTTCCCTTTTGTTTTTGTGATTGTTTCTGTCGCTGACTCGTGGACGTGCGACGTGCAATGTACGGCAGCTTAGACCAGTGGGATGCTTATTTTCGACTTCGACAAATGCACGCTCCACCCGGCGCGCCATCGCAGACGCCCTACCACCGATGAGGCATACAGCAGCTCGGGTTGGCGCGTCCGTGGTGTCATTAATATGTACGATGCATGCAAACGCTGTCAAACAGTGTTTTTATAGCCGGACTATCGATTTGTTCTATTGTCTCTCCTGATTAATATTGCGCTTAGCAATACGCCTTCCGATTCTGGCTTGTGCCTTGGGATATACCTCCAGTTTGCATGTATCATTTGTACAGTCTCTACTGTTATCACTCAGAATTGACATCATTCCGGATTCCATACGTAACGTTGACCTTGACACGAATGTAAAAGGGCAACAGAAAACCACAGGAAAGGAGAAGGTTTTGATCCTACATTTGTCAATGCCATCGAAACGCTACTGCATATTCGGATAAGTGTAGGGAGGTTGTCGTTGTAGCCAATACAAGGCAAGGTTGATATTCTAAGGAAGATTACGAAGGGTTTTCTTGGACAAAATTCGAACTTTTTAGGGTCTGGTCAGCAATATATAACATTTTGTATCAATTGCTGGCACATACCACGTAAACACCACAATTGCCGGCAATTGTGAAAAATTGTCAGGTGATCTCTTGTCAGCAATTGTCAGCAATTGTTGTCAATCAGGCACTGTTGGCAAGATGTGTCAATTGCCTACAATTGCCCACAATTCCTGGCAATCTGTCCTCAATCTCATTGCTGATAATTGTCCACAATTGTCCACAATCATGATTGCCTTTTGATCCTGCCTGATCTCAATGTCATATCTGCTCTTCAACCTTTCTTGGATCTTGTTGGATCTTGTCCAATATTATTACACCTTGCTACTCTATCTCTAAGTCATATTTGGATGCACTATGCTGCACTGCTCATGAACCTGGATAATTGTCAGCAATTGTTGGATATTGTTGGGTCCTGGGCTAGGTTGTAGACTTGGACATTGCTGGCAAATGTTGGCATTTGTTGAATATCTGAGCAGAGTTTTTGATGGGCTAAAAATTGGTGAGTCTAGTAGAATAGAATTGCCAAAGTGGTAGTTGGATGAGTTGTGCCCAATTGCGGCAATTTGCAACAATTGTGTTTGAGCATTGTTTCAAATTGCTAACAAAAGCTGGGAATTGCTAGCAATTCCTGCCAATTGTCAGCAATTGCCAATAATGTCCAACAATTGATGGCAATTGGCAGGAATTGCTAAGATTTGTTGAAAAATAGGTAATATTGAGGTAAAAGTTTTGATTTTTGTCCAGGTTGGTCCCTTATAGAAGATACAAAGATACCAAAGGGGTGACTAGGTCAGATGCTTACTTTGTTGATAGGGAAAATAAGATGGTTCCAAACAATCAACTTGCAATACAATTCTGGTCAACAATTTCCAAGAAACTCAATATTTCATATATCAAGCGCAAGCAGATTATACCCTTCACAATGATATAGAGAATAAGCTGCTACCAGAGCCAAGCAGGTGCTTGGCTCTGGTTTATGAGGGACTATGCCCACCTCAAACATGCCAGCTTGGAATGTGAACAATACTTGAGGAACATATGTAGTGTGTAGATCCAGTGACATCATTAGCATTGGCGATGCCAAGTGACTTTTCTATGAGATATGACAAGTCACCAACATAAGTCTTATAAGAGTTGAGATAAAAATGCATCTATAGCTCTTTCCTTCAGTCTGTGTCATTTTATAAGCCTGTAATGTGCCGCACAAGCTATGAGTACCATCTTAATATACTGGGAGAATAATCTTTCAGACCATATGGTATTTATTCAAGGTTACTGATAGATATCAATGAGAATGGTGCCCTTGACAAAATATGCTCTTGAGTTTGTAATTGTGCAATGAAGCAATGAAAACCTATGAAGACTCCCTTGTGCCACAATCTGAGTAGAGATACATGTGACTGTGACTTACTGTGACAATGATAGCTCTACCAGTCACAAATGGAACAATCTCAGTAATTAGTGAAGATAACTTTTGAATCATGATAACTGTTCCTTTGTTAATTGCTTCCTCTTCAAAAAACATCCTAACTCCCTATCCTGACCCTCTAGCTGATGAGTCATTGCTCAGCTCTCAATTGCAGTCTATGTTAAGGGTCTATAACTGTAAGCTATGGCACCGTTATCCTGCAGATTAAAGCACAAGGCTACAGAAACACCAATACACCAGCCCAAAGACCATATAGATTGATGCCCCATCATAGAGACTTTTTCTTTCAAAACACAATTGTATTGTTGTCATTTACTAAAAAAACACCACTGGATCAACCATCTCATGGTCTGTTACTACTTATGCTTTATGCTCATCACTCATGATTAGGTCCTTTTTAGCTATCATATATAGATAGGGCTTTCAGAATGCAATATAATTCAATAGATTTGAATACTAGCTCAAACACTGTAATACATGCATGAGCTTCTTCCTACCCTATGGTACCAACTAATGCCCTTTCAGTTTGCCATAAATAGCATTATCTGTTAAAATCTGGGTATTTTTCCTTTGATAGACATTATAGATAAGCTATGGGATTGGTAGTTTCAAGTTGATCCTGGAAAAAGCTGTAAAATCCCCTCTATCAATAATGTAGGCATCTCAAACAAGCAAACTGACTTGTTTGCTTATTTCCTCTTTAGCTTTATAATAGCACAGAGACATTTGAATATTATCTTATCCCATTATTTGATAATCTTTCTAAGATCACGTAGTTTCAACAAGATAGTTTCAACTCACAAGTTGAGATCCTTGTATCCCTTTAACACCCTTCCACCACTAATATTAAGAGTCAAGCCACACTTTGTCATGTTGAATGCTGGAAAAAAACTTGGCAACTTGGTGTTTTGTCATATGTCTGTTATCTCTAGCATCTGCAGCAAGTATGGAACCTCAAATGAATATATGTAGCCAGTCATATTACTTATGAGTTAAGCCAAATCCTCCCCTATCATTTGTCTCTCAACCTCAGACATTTGCCCCTCAGTGCAAACATTGAGCTATTCGGAAACTTAGTATTGAACCTTCAGAATGGACCCCTTGCCAACTTCATAAGCGGCAAAAGTTAGGACCCCCACTTGTCAGCTCCAATGCTTCTACAGGTAGAAGTCGGGCACCTTACCGCAACCTTCTCACCCCAAGTATCCCAGATACTAATTTAGGCCACTTATTTGATGTTGTCCCAAATTACAAGGTCAATGATGAGCAGCTGGAATCAGATGTTGGCCAATGGGTGCAGTGTTGTGCCGTAGCAGTAGCAGGATCAGGAGGCTAGACTAGAAGTCTCCTCAATGAAGAAAAAGCTGAAAAGTATTGTTGTGATACTACTTAAAGGACATGGCGTAAGATTAGGACTTAGAGAGGGGATTGTCTTGCATTCATTTATGCTGTTTATTGTCATCTTAATTGTTACATTTCTTCTATCCCAATTTATCCTTGTCTTCCTCTTAATGTTTGCGCTGCTATTCAATGCATTGACTATTATTCTGTCTATTTTTTGTCAACTCTAGGCTACAGACCAAACAACTCATGGTAGCCACATATAGGTAGCGGTGATGAGCATGCACCCGCGCTAGAGTCCGAGGGAGGAATTCAGGAAGCTTGGGGGAGATACCAAATAGTGCTCGACAAGTACCGAAGATGCCAACTTTTACCGAACATGGTCAGTCCCTACCTGACCAACGACAAGCCACCGAAGGACGTTCAGCAGCACTTGGGTCAGTTTGCCCACACTTCACGCACCCACCATGACCACATAGGAGTGTTACAATAAGTGTTTACAAGATCAAAGCCAGTAGGCCGTATTGGCCAATATCCTCTGTGAGTCGGTTGGTCCTTATTGCTTATCTTCCCGACTTCCATATAGTCGGTCAAACACAAGCTTGCACCATTACTTGGCTATCCTAGTCATACGATATGTCTTCTTTATTTTCATTGGTTCTCCAATGCCTGTTCTGGCTACCTACACTTGGGCAATGGATCCCAAACGTTTGGGATTTCGCCATCGCTGATTAACTTTTACCTTGTCACCTTTGGAACCCATATGGACATCTCACCTACCTTCTTATCTTCTCTGATTGCTAAGGCTTGGCACCCATTTGACATCTACTCTCATTTCTTGTTTAATATTTTACTTAGGGGCTCTGTTTACTATAAAAACCTACATACACCTCTGGAATAAACCAGCTTTTGCACCCCACAGTTCAGAGCTCATTCGCACTTGTCTCAACCATCGAAATCATCTCCATCAACTCCTAAAAACTTGTCATCTTTGTCGTTTGGCCTTGTTCACGTTCGTACTCGTCTCTTTGCTCATACCCCTTGTCCTCCCTCATATATTGTCAGAGTCCTGTGCGGCTCTTAAAGCACATAGTTGTCGGTCACGACACTACCCCCCCCGTTACTGGCCGAATTGCCAATACGACTGACCGAACGTTTGGTCGGTGTTTGGTGCAGTCCTGAAACTGTTTGGGCGCTATAATCTCACACTCCTCGCTGCTTTTCAAGTGCGCCATCTATTTCTAAAGTCCTCATTAACAATTCCTTGTGTATCAGATACTAGCTCTAGCACCCCCTGCATTAGAGGTTGTTTTGGTGTTGTGCTCGGCACTTAGAACCACCTCTAGCATATCAGCGGAACTATCTATTGTTCTCCCACTTACATCTGCTGGCTCATTGCATGGATGTTATAAACTGCTTGTTCAGTAACCCAAGAGTAATAGGTTCTTCTTTAGGTTACACAAAGGACTGAGTGGATGAGGGAGTCTCAACTGTATCAAAAAATTAATACAGGAGTGGTTGCAGTGATCTTACTATAGAAAGACAGTAGGGGACAAGATTTTGTATGTGAGGATATAGAAAGAACAAAGGTTCCACTGTAAAAAGTCAGTGGCAGACAAAGAGAATAGACTAAAGTTCCTCAGCCTATTCTATGGGCCTTATATACTGTATAAGGCATAGGGTAAGTGTCCGTGTGCTTTTCCTAGTTCCCATTCCAGGAGAGCATGGGTCACTATCTTTCTCAGTCAGCACCTACTTTTGTACTTTTCCAATCGAACCAATTTATCTCAGTACAATAAAGTGCTTGCCTATATGCCCTTAGCCTATGGCATGTGAATGCTATCTTACTAAGCTGCTCTACCTATAACCCTGTCATTTATCCTCTTCTGATGTCTTGAAGATCCATTAGACCAGTTAGCTCCTAAGGACATGCCAAATACCTTGATGTATGCTCCAGAGTAGAGCTGCCTAGCATGTAATGCTAGGACTATCAGATAGACTGACTTCATAGGGTCCCAACAGGTCAAGTCATAACATCACCCCCTCTCTAAGTCTTAACTCCTAGGAGGACTACCCACTGCTTATGAGCCTCATTGTCATTCCATAAGCAATTGCTTTCTTAACTGGTAAGACCAGATGCAACTTCTTGTATGACTTCATTGATACACTAGAGGTGTCTCTAAGTGCCTACCACAACACCAAAACAACCTTTAGAGCAAAGGGGTGCTGGAGCTAGTATTTAATACACAAGGAATTGTTAGCAATGACTTTAGAAATTGAAGGTGTACTGAGAAGCAATGGGGGTGTAAGATTATGGTACCCAAATGGTTTTGGGACTGTGCCAAACACTGACCAAATGTTTGGTCGGTCATGTTGGAGATTTGGTTGGTAACAAAAAGGTAGTGCTGTAACTGACAACTGTGGGCTTCAAGAGCCACATGGGACTCTGACAATATATAAGGGAAGACGAGGGGTACAAGTGAAGAGATGAGTACAAATGTGAATGAGGCTGAATAACAAGGATGACAAGTTTTTGGGAGTTGACAAAGACAATTTTGATAGTTGAGATGAGTGCAAATGAGCTCTGAACTGTGGGGTGTGAAAGCTTATCTGGGAAACTACCCCCTTGTATTGACTCTGGATTATATCTAATAGTGTCTCAAAGTATCTAAAAGTGTTAATAGCATCTAAAAGTGTCTAATTTCCTAATTGGGAGCAACACATTGTGAGCATTGGATTGGATTTCCAAATTAGGAACTACCTCTTTCTGTGGCTAAAAAGATAGTTTCTAAGTTCATGAGATTAGCACTAATTCCACACCAAGTCTTTTATTATCAGTAGGAAATAGTAGGTACTACTGCTCTATCAGTAAGAAAATAAAGATATAGCACATTCTATGTTATTTCAGCACATTACTCTCCTTCATATATGCCTGCACCATCATCTTATAGCTCTTTTGCTAACATTCTAGGTGCCTTCATAAGGGACATGGAAAGAGAGAAATGTGCATTAATGCCCCCAGCCACTTTGTTGGTAGTTTGGCAACTGCCACAAAAGGCTATGAAGACCTCAGTATCTTGGCCTTGCACACAAGATCATTAAAGTTGTTATTGTTAGCCAATGCCTGCTACTAGTCATTATAGGACACAACATGCAGGTTGGGCTTAGGGATGTACTATATGCAGCTTTGTAGACCTTGTATATCAGTATAGTAGTCAATACTGTCTCATACAGCACATAATCACCATCACTATTGATATTAGAATTTTTAGCACCATCCATATTGTTCATTGCCTTGTTATATAGAATATGCTTAAACTTGGTGTTTTTCTCTAGCTATTAGGCTGTGGAAAAGACAGTCATATTGGTATGTAGTGCCAGATTGATATATTTGCCTACTATGCAGGAAATATGTGCACCAAGCATATTAAGATCATTTCCAATAATCTTGTGCTTATTTATAGATAGGCATGCCATACATATACCCTTGTCCCAACCCTCTACCTCACTAATAGCTATTTGGAAAACCCCTCTCTTTTATTGGATCTTAATTATCAATAATCATTAATGATACTAATTATGGCTAATTATGGCTAATTATTCATAATCATGTTTTTGATCAAATTTACAAATTAAGATAGCATTGTCTATACTAGTAGAGTCCTATTGAATATTACACTCAATCATAGTTTTACACATTCTAAATCCAAATTGTGTAAGTGCTATAATTTGTTTTTATCCTATATAAAGTGTATTATTGATTTTCCATTGGTTTATTATCTTCTTAGCTGGTGTTTAAATAAATCCTGAAAGACCTGGTTTTTTGGGTATTTATTGACCTATTTATTTATAAGAGAGAGGAAAGATAAATGTTGAATAAAATTTGAGATGTTGAGGTTGCCTATATTATGTCTACTTATTTAGATTACCAAGTTCATATATTAGACCTTATGGCTTAGTGGCTTAGAGCATCTGTCCCAGGTGCTTGTATATATGAGATTGTTAGTTCAACTCTGGCAAAAGGCAAGTTACTTATAAGGTATATTTTGTGTTTAGGTATTGAACTAGTGCTCTAATAGACATGACTCTATAAGAAGGCTATGAGAACTGTGATGCTTGATTTATTATTATTTTTCCGAAATTTCAAGCTATAATTAATATAATCAATCCTAATAGTTCCTAATTTAGGAAGATTATGTCTAATTAGAACAGGTTTAGGGGGGGGGTAAGCAAATAATCTCTAACCCTAATCATTCTTAATTATGCATAAATAGAACTAATTAGAGCATAATACAAGAGGGTGATTTCCCAGAGGCTCTGATTGTTTTCTTAAGAAAATTTTCTGCCCAAATGCCAGTGGTACCATCTCTCATATATAAGAGGACTAGGGAAACTTTGTCTTTGTTGGTCTGATACCGGTCTGATTCTGTTGCAAAAAAAAGGAGACAGTTCAATATGAACTTCTGCAATCATTTCTTATTGCTGGAGAAATTGTTAGGAAGTTTGATTTTGCCCCTTTTAGATTGTGCGGCTGTAGTAGGGAGGTTTGTTGTTCCTAGCACCGATATATTGGTAATACTTGATTTCAGGTGTTGATTGATGTTTGAATATCCAAGGATTCAGACTCAGATGCTTCTTCTTCTTTTTCTTTGTTATAAACTGCTTATTCAGTAATCTAAGAGTAATAGGTTTCTCCCTAGGTCGCACAATAGACTGAGTGGATGAGGAAGTCTCGACTATATTAGAAGATTAATACAGGAGTAGTCATAGTGATTCTACTGTAGGAAGACAGCAGGGGACAAAGTGTTCATATAGGAAGATATAAACAAATGAAGGTCCCACTGTAGGAAGACAGTAGTGAATAAAGGGAATATACTGAAGCTCCTCAGCCTATTCTATGGGCCTTATATACTGTATAGGGCATAAGGTAAGAGTCCATGTGCTTCTTTGGATATCTATCTCAGGAAAGTGTGGGTCACTGTCTCTCTCAGTCAGTGCCTACTCTTGTACTTCCCCAGTCTCACCAATCCAACTAGGTATGACAAGGTGCTTACCTATAAGCCCTAAGCCCATGGCATGTGAATGATCTTATTAATCCCTATGCTTATGACTCCCATCATATATCCTCTTCCAATGTCTTGAAGAACCATCAGACCAGTTGGCTCTTAAGGACATGTTGAATACCTTAATGTATGCTCTAAAGTGGAGCCGCCTAGCATGTGATGCTTAGACTGTTGAATAGACTGACCCCACAAGGTCTCAGCAGGTCAAGTCATAACAGACATGCCATGTATCTTGATGTATGTGTTATGATCACGTTCTGTCGGGCCTTAACGGCGGTCTATTCCGACACGATCATCACAAATATCAAGCGGCCTCACAAGGTGAGGCGTACAAACAAGGTACAGATAGTAACCTTGGTCATCCACTCCCAACGGATCACCTTATCGTTGGTCGAGTATCACGGGCCTATTGCGTAGCGGGCATGGAACG